AAAAAAGAACTCTCTATGTGGATTTAAATCGTGCCAGCTTGCTGAAGATGAAGTAGATGTTTCTTGAACTTGCATTTGAAGTAACCCCTTAACCCTACGGAGGTGGAGCAAAGTCTGACAGACCCGACGCATATTTACTCGCTCGGTATTTCTCGGGGGATTTTCCAAAAAAACTGTCATTCCCACTACTTTCCTATGTTGGTTAGTAGTAACCGTGTAACAAGCGTAGACGGAGTATTATTTTATTATTCGTGAGATATAAGCTTAAAAGTCTGAGAGACCCGGCGCCTCCTCTGGTGTTGCTTAATTCTGAAAGTGTTAATATTGTGTTTTTTTATTCATTCGTTATCGAGTTATCGAGATTTTTAGTGAATAGTTTTTTTCATCAATGGTATAATTGTTTCCAGGAATGGATAATGAAAAGAAGCAGGAGAGATTACGTCAAATGTGGGAAGAAGTTGATGAGATTACAGAGGTACCTGATGATGAGGAAGCTGAATTAGCTTTAGAAATTGATACTATAGAAACAAGAAGTACAGATAGTGAATCAGAACAAGATTGTGAAGATATAGTTGAAGCAGAGGAAGTACCTCCTCCAGAAAAAATTTCAAGATATCCATGTTTTATAGGAAAAGATGATAAGACAAAATGGAGGAAATATTGTATAAAAAAACGTCTAGGACTAGACGAGAAAATATTATTGTTCGCCTTCCTGGAGTGAAAAATTATGCAAAGAATGCTAGGTCAGAACTGGAATGCTGGTCATTATTTTTTTCTGATGAAATTCTACAGGTAATTGTTGCAAATACCAATCTATAACAATGGTTGTTTTTTATGCCTTGCTAAATATAGCAGGTGTAAATTCACAAGTTATTTATGCTTCGAATAAAAAAAAGTATTCAACTATTCGTAGAAAATATTTGACAAACCTTGCTAAAGGATTAACCCAAATGTATATACAGCGACGTTCTTTGGAGGTGAATATACCAAAAGAATTGAGGGAACGAAGGCAAGATTATGCTGGCTCTTCTATTGCAACCCAGCTGCCCCAAGAACATGTTCCAGGAGTACGCAAAAGATGTTTTTTTTTGCGAAAAAGACTCTAAAATAAGATTTTCGTGTGAAAAGTGTGGAAAATTTATTTGAATATCCCACCTCAAAGCTTGGTGTTCTGAATGTACCAATTCAATCATAAACTTGTAGAATGAACATTTTAGTTCATTGAGTACACAGTTATACCAAAATAGTAGAGATTTCTATAATTTTGTATTTGTTGTCGAGTATTTTGATAAGGGTAACGTTTTTATGTATCTACTTCATTTATTTCGTTTATTTACGCTTTTCATTATATTTTTATGTTCATGTTTTGATTTTTGGACAATTAAACGTTCATTTGATCACCTCTAATCATTTGGTTTGAAGAAAAAATTGCCACATATGTATTTTGAACATGGGTCTCTCAGACCCAGCGCCACCTCCCGTGTCATGAAAACAGGCGCCACCTCCGTACGGTTAATTGCTTTTTCGTACTTATGTTTAGATTGTGAACACCTGTTCTGTGGTATAAATGATCATAATGGTTAGGGGTTAGACTAGGTTGAGTTGGTCTATTCGACCCACCACCGCAACACAAAAGGGTTTATTGTGGCTCACACCTGTTCACACTCGACCAAATAAACTCAGCTTCTTAACGAAGACAATTAGTTTGTATGACGAGATGTCTTTCAGGTCAGATGGTAAGCGTACGGCTTACCTTACTTTAAAAACCTGATTCGGTCACCAGCGGGGCAGGCACAAAGTATGTGCTCTGCTATTTCATGAGGTAGTCGGATAGTCAAGGTGCAAGATTCCCACCTTGATACCCGCGACAACCTTCCCATATGAGGATTTTTGCACGTCAGCTACACCTGATGATGTGCACGGCTTTTTCGCCTTTGGTTATGGTGAATCATCAATTGAGCACAAACGTTCGCTAACCTGCTCATGGGGGGTTTTTTCCTCCACCTGAGACAGATTCTGCGTAAGCCGCTCAAGAATTTGGTGCAAGGAGGAGACGACTCAGTCGTTTCCTGGCTGCACCACCAAACCTTTTTTTAGGTTCAGTTATTAGATCAGGAGTTGGAGAGAGAATGGACAGTTGGAGTCGTAAGCTCGGCATCCGTCTCCTCTGTAGACTGGCTCCTGATCTAAATTCACAGGGAGGTCAGTTGGAGTCGTACGCTCGACATCCATCTCCATCTCCATCTGACTCAGCGTCAGAAATAATTTCTAAGCTTATTCTGTCCATAAAAGTCCCACGAGTAGCCAAGAAAAGAAGGTCAATCACGGTAGAGCCCCGCATTACCGTGACAAGGCGATGCTACGACGAGATGGCGCCCGGTATCTCGAAGGTTCCGTAGACAGTCTCAGTGTCATTCATCCTCTCGGCACAGGTACACACACCTCAGGATTGAGCCGTCGTTGGGATGTCATTCAGTTAGGAAATAACAGAACCACAAGTGATTCTGTCATTCCCGTATCCAGCGGGGCTACGTGGAAGCAGGCATCCGTTGGCCGCTTTGCTCAACCCCCACATCCCAAGCCAATACACTCGCCAAAAACAGCATGCACAGTGGTTCAGTGTCACCTCACAAACCACAAGAGGAGACTAAATCATCTGTCGGTAACAAATAAGACAGATGGGTATCCGCGGCTAAGCTAAAGTAGTCGGATAGTCAAGGTGCAAGATTCCCACCTTGATACCCGCGACAACCTTCCCATATGAGGATTTTTGCACGTCAGCTACACCTGATGATGTCGTAGATTCAACCGTGCACGGCTTTTTCGCCTTTGGTTATGGTGAATCATCAATTGAGCACAAACGTTCGCTATCCTGCTCATGGGGGGTTTGTTCCTCCACCTGAGGCAGATTCTGCGTAAGCCGCTCAAGAATTTTTGGTTCATTTCGTCGATAGGACTGATGTAATGATTTGGCCTGGTTGCAGAAAGTTATAACAGTAACCATGGTCTTTTTTTTGTGGGTTTTCGTCTTTGGAAAATGCATGAGTAGCGCACCAGTGTCCACTCACTGTCTTGAACGTTTAATGTTGTCGTGGATGATCCACTTTTCATCACACGTGACGATTCGATCCAAGAAATGATCGTTTTGATTGGGCAAAAGCAAAGAAGAAGAGACCTCGAAACGTAACAATTTCTGTCGGTCGTTCAAATCATGGGACACCTACTCTTCGAGTTTTTTTATCTTTCCAATACGTTTCGAACCAACAAAACCGCATGACAGCTGACGCCCAGTTCTTCCGCCATCACACGCATCGTTTGTGATGGGTCAGGGTCCTCAAATTCTCGTGCTGAGTTTTTATAGGTTGACCACTTGATGGCTCTTCTTTCAGGCTGAAATCTTCGGAATGAAATTTCGCAAACCAACGTCGAACAGTTCGTTCATTAACACTAATGCCTGGTTAATTTTTTGAGCTGTTTCGTCAGCGCTTCAGTTCAATTTGAATTCGTAGAGAAAATGGGTCAAAATTCGTTTAACGACGTTACAAAACACGTTAGCTATTTGATTCAAATGTCTTTTAACATTTATGGCCCTGCGTTACTTCAATCTGATTGCCTTCGTCTTCAATGAATTCAAAACAGTTTCCTTCGTTTTTCTTTTGTCATTCAAAAATACGACCACATATCACCGGTCATGAAGGAATCAGGTTGGATGCAACTTGAGAAACTCAGGACACTGCACCTACTCACAAATACCCACAAAGTCTTGAAATTGAATTATTTCTCGAATAATAACAGCTTTTCCACTAGAAGCAGGTCTTCTGTTTTTACTCGCAGCTTCTCATACAACGCAGTGAATTCAGATCCAACACGTTGAAAAACTTTGAAAAATTAAAAAAGACTCAAAGTGCATTTATTGAGTAGTTCACTTTCCTCATGCTGAACTTGGCTCATGCGTTTACACAAAATATTTGGTGACTGAATAATAATCATTTTTTGACAATGTATGTACTCACTATAATTCTCTTTTATTCATTTCAAATTTCATTTTTTTTTCTCGAAGGTTGAGTTTAAAAACAGTTTTTCTGACACTCCGCCCATTCACCTCAATATTTATGTGGATCCTGTATGTTCTTACTTCAGGTGAATAAAGACGTTTTATCATTATTACAATTATATAATAATAAGCTGAAAAGAGGCAGCATGTATAGAGTAGAAAATTCTCTGTAGATCAGTATGTCAGTAGTATATATCTATCAATCAGTATATACCACTACATAGTAGGATGAATATTTATTGGGATATGGAGCTACACAAACACATGAATATTTCTGGAGTTTTTTCCCAACACCAAATCGTTATTTTTAACACCTCGACACGTGTTTCGATCACCAAGTGATCATCATCAAGAGGAAGATCAAACTGGAAACTATGTGAAGCTTACCCTATTTATGCTATACAGATATACCATACAACTCGCCTATTATTTTACAATATGTCCTTATGTTATACATTTAAACATAGCATACCAAAGGTTCCAAATAGTGCATCATTAGTACAAACACATGAAATTAAAACTGATTAAACTTTTAAAACATCCAGGTTTTTCTTGAAAATTTCTGGTAATACAAAAAATATATTTGTCCATCATTTTTGGACGTATCTGAATATCTGAAGCATTATAATAACCTTATAATTTGATTTCAAAAAGATGTCATTATTAATTCTCAAGCATTATTTGGAACCATGAGGTTTAATAAGAAATTAGTTTATTGTTATTTCGGTAGGTTTCTGTTAAGAAAGATGGTTGTGAATAATTGGAAATTAACATACTAGATTACAAAAAATGATGAATATATATGTATGGAAAATAATTAAGAATGTTTCAAGGATAAAAATATTATTAGCCGAAGATGAAAATATCAATTTGACTGAGTAATCCGAATCCCCCCTGAATGTTCACGGCCACCTCTTAGGTAAACAGAATTCGACATAAACAAATCACTAGCGGTTAGTCGTGTAAAAACCTTCAAGACGTTAGAACTTGGTCGAATCCTGAAATTTCAAAATGATCGCGCGGGTAAAAAAGAAATTCGTGTTGGGTCTATTGGTAATTTTAAATTTGTCGACAACAGTTAGCGCAAATGAAGGCAAAAATGAATCAGTCGTGATGAAAATCAATAATATGACGTACAATATACATCCAAGAATGATGATTAGTCAACATAACGCGAAATTGAAAGGTAGGTAATTTTTTGTTTCCAAACAGATTTCGACAACTAGAGTTTTTATTGTGGACAGCGCAAATTGTTCACTTCTGAATATAGTTGGAACCTTTATGTACAAACATATTGTTATTATATGACGACTTATAAGAGATATTTTTCGTGGAGAAAATCAATACGTATTTAGAAAAATAACTTTTTATCTTCATGTCAGTAAATGGAAAATAAATACATAAAATATGAATAATGCCCATATGATCTTTTCATATTCTGAAAGAAAAGTCCATCTGAAACAACAAGTACTCTACTCTATGAATATTGAATTAGATCATCAGTTATCTTCATATCCTTGATTGGTGAAATGCGCGTCTAGAAGACTATTGCATTTCTGGTAATTGGAAAAAGTGATCGATTTGGTTTTATTTCAAGCCAGCGGTTACAGTTTCACCTTTTATTAGTCAAAAACATTTTTTCCCAAATTTGTGTGAGGAATTTTGATAATATCAAACGCTCCATTGTAGTGAATGGAAGAGTATTCCATGTAAGAGAATCACTTTTATTCTTTCCCCACCTATTTTCCAATCTCAAATATTTATTTTTTCTCTATAATTCAATTTCTAACGTGAGGTTCTTTGAAATATTCTCTTAATATCATGTCTCTTACTGTTCGAATCTAGAACACTAAAATTACCGCAGTTCAATTCACAAATAAATAAACGCTTCGTAATATCATCAAAAAATTGTGCTGATTGGATAATAAAACAGAAGATGATACCGCATAAGTGAAATTTCATATCGAAACTCATTCATGTATTATATTGTACAGCGTTTGAATTTGACGATAGTCGTGTCCCAAAGTGTTTTGGCGATGTTTTGAATTTATTGGAGCCTCTGGAGACACCCTACATTCCCTTTTATGAAAGAGAGGAAACTGGCAGATCAAGATCTTCAGATGATGTGGAGCTGCAGGTTTTTCCGGGGTTTCCTGCAGCTGGAAAAGCAAATGCGCCACTGGAATCAATGAAGTCGCCCCGCAGCGCCAGCGAGTAATTTCTCTAACAGATAATTTAATATTCTTGTCAAAGGAGTGTGTTTTCTTTTAGTTTGTACCTGAAGGTAAATTCTATGCATAATCTACACATCTTCATAAGGAGTTTATTTTTATCTCAATTACTCAAATCTTTCCTTTCGAAATTTTCTAAATTTTTTGCATGAAGATGGAAAAGTAGAAAGCCAAAAAGCTTTTTTTTTTTCAAAAATCTGATCCCTTCCAAAAACATACTCTTTCAATTCAAACAGAATATACTTCTCAACTACAATAAACTGAAATCATTGATTGAATGTGTAGGGTATGTTCTCTAACATACCGTACAACAAATGTGAGTCCCTCATTTCAAATATATTAATTCAAGCCAAAGTAGACCACGTCACTATTTTTGAAATTTCGATAGCTTTCGATGTATGCCTGAATCAGAATTACTTTCAGTTCAATAACAAATTTTATAAGCAGGATTCATATTTACCAATGGGCATGACATGAAATAATGTATACCTTTATCTACCTACACAACTATACTAGGTAATAACAGACGATCCCTAATGACATGTCCCTATCTAGATTCCTAGCAGATAAGGGTAACGAAAATGCTACTCTGTTGAGAACATTCAATTGTTTAGACGGCTAATTTATGATTGTCGGGATGGAAAGAATAACTTGGGATTATAATGTCTGTATAGCTCGGTTTTAACAGACGAGAATATCGTCTACATATCTGTATCGAAATTGGTTTAAAGAAAGATCAACTTCGAGTATATATTATTTGAATTTTCACATTGAAAACTTTCAGCAAGATCTTATTGGAACCATCCTTACTTTCTAGCGTCTATGATAATTCAGTTTGAAAATATGGCTTTGTGTTTCTTCCAGAGAGGAATGAAACAAACATCATCAGTAACGTAAACACAAGTGCAGAAGAAGTGAATATGACTGAGAAATCACAGAATATGTCGAAGTCGAATCCTGATGAAAAATCAGAGTCGAAAGCTCCTGCATTATATTTCCCATACAACCTCCGTATAATAAGTGAAATATTACAAAAATTGGAGAACAAAGAATGTGTAGCCGCTACAACTCAAGTCATTGAAGCTATGACAAGACATGAAAGATGGGCCTTAGAATGTGAGTATACTGTATCATGAATTATATAAGGTATAACTTTTGTCCTCGTAGTAAACGCACATACTACTGATAATGTCTGCCGCAGTAGTACACAAAACGTTTGGTATTTCAAGTTTAATTCGAAAATGGCTCACTATGCGGGATTTTAATTTCTTCGATCGTGACTCCGGGCGTGTAAACCTATGTTTTCACATTCTTCTATTCGAATTTGTTAAACTCATGTATTGTTCAAAGATATTTATCTTTGGTAGTGTATATTGAAATGTTCCTAAAAAAGTACAGCAAAGATGTTCTTGACTTTATGAATTTGACACAAATTATTTGTGAAAGGCTTCTTGATGAAGACGGGATATCCATCAGAAAAATTTTCGTTTCGAATATCATTTTCGTAGTTAACTCAGGTACACATTCAAAAACGGACAAAATTATAAATACAATCAATTTGCACATAGATTCTGAGTTATTCCAGAACCCATCCACATATTTCTATGGAAAACTTTATAACGTTTTCAATCGCTGCTGTCCCAAGTATACAGTTAAATCCAAAAATAAATATCCTCCTTGGTATAATAGAAGCATTCTTAGAGAGTTGCAGGCTAAAAGCAGAATCTGGCGCAAATACAAGCGTGAGTGTGATTTGCAGGCCCTTGAAGATTTCAAACACCTTCGGACAAAAATAAAGCATGATGTTGATGTATCATACAAAAAATTCTTAGGTGAAAATGAGGAAGAAATACATATCAATCCCAACAGATTTTGGTCATTTATAAATAATAAACGAGGTAGCTCCAAAATATTACAAGTACTGAATTTTGAAGGTCAATTACTGGAGGGACCTTCTAATATCGTAAACGGTCTTGCCAATCTTTTCAAACAATGGTATACTGTTTCTTCCCCTTCTCAACCAAACTCTGATACTGATAATAATCACTTTCTTGATATATCAAGCTTCAGTGAAAACGAAGTATAAGAGGCACTGAGATCGCTCAAACCTAAAGAGACCACTGGTCCAGATGACATTCCAGTTTTCATCCTAAAAGATTGTGCACTTGTGCTTACTCGTTCTCTATGTATACTAATTGATATTTGCTTAAGATCGGCTACAATACCAAGGATCTGGAAATCATCAAAAGTCTGTCCCTATTCCAAGAAAGGAGATAGACGAGATATTTCAAATTATCCTTCTTGCAGAAAGATGTTTTTTGTATGTTGTATGAACTCTAAGGATTTTTTTATACTAAAACCTAGTTCTGCAATAGACAAGCCTTCAAATTCCTTAGTTAGCCATTTTGCTATTTGATAGGTAGGAGAACCAATATCTGACATGGTGAGGTGCATTGATTTGTGGATTTTTGGGAGGCAATATAGTTTTGATACCGTTGGGTTGAAAACTTGTAAGTTCCGTTTCAATTGCCGGATAAGTATGTTGTCGCATTTCTGGAGGACGTCTTTTACTTCGGCGATCATCTTTTGTAACGGGTTCCTGGACAATTTTGCACACGGTCCGTTAGTGATGAGAGTATTGATCGTTTCGTAGTAGTTCGAAACCATCCAGAATTACTACTTTGTTACCTTTGTCGTCTTTCAAATGAAAAACGTCTTCTTCTTTCAATCGCTTGATAAGTTTCTTTTGGTTTTTATCGTCGTTTATTAAATGTTTCCGTTTATCTGTTATCATGTTCCTGGAGATTTGATTCCTGATTTTCTCCCGAACTAATACCTTCCAGGAATCAGGCATATATTGAATCGAATTTTCAACACTAGCAATTCAACCAGTAATATTCATTAGTACATCAAAGGTTCCAAAGAGTGCATCACAAAATTAATTGTGTATTTAAAATTTCTATAATAACAATAAAATTATGAGGAATTCTGAAATATATCATAAAGAAAACAAAGCACTGATAGATGGAAGTTGCAATGGGACTGAACAATTTTCTTTCATTGTTCTCAAATAAGTAATTTTGAGAATTTTTGACATAAAATGAATAAAAGTGTGAAACCTATAGAAACACATCTGAAAATTGACTGAATTAGCGTATAAGTAGGACAATCATCTAGATATAATAAAATATATGTCACGTAACAATTGTATCGTTGTTAAATCACACGTCTGTGGAGTCAATAGAAAAACAAAATATAATAACAAATATGGATGGAAACGAAACAAAGAAATACACAACGATATACGTGTACAGTTAAAATGCATCAATGACACTTAATTCGAAGACACGGAAGAGTAAAGCTAATAGATAATAGTTTGAATAACTAAAAAAACACGCTTCAATAGCAACACAAACTATAAAATTGAAAATGATTCGAAACTAATTCAAGATTGTGTTCAACATTCTCTTTCCCTGAAAGAGCTTTTTGTGTATTTTATCGATCAAAATGACGCAATCTGCCGCTGTATTCTGATAATTTTCCGTTAGAAATATAAACTATTCATACGTATTGTTCAAACCATATAGTGTTGTCCCCACTTCAAGAGTTTTCTGATTGCGAATAATATAAAAAAACAAACAACATAAAAAATATTGGACAAGGTTGCTTATAGCTGAAATATAGTTATGCATCCGTGAAAATAACTTCTTTCAATATGAATATTTCCGCGATCAAAACCATAACAGTTTGAATTCTTGAAGCACTTTGATGACTAATCTGAAAAGGATATTGTTACATACAGTCATTCAATGCCAGTATAAGGGAAATTACCATAAATAAACCATTCTTTCGATACATCAACAACTTGTCCAAGACGTATGGGATTTAATTTCCTCGTTTGTATTTATGTCACTTGCAACGCGTAATTTTTGGTCATTCCCAAAAAATAATTTCGAATGGCAAATTATTTTTTTTAACCAAATGTAATATTATTGAGAGCATGAGCACAAAATTTTGAAATACACATGAAAGTAGTTTGTTGTTTTCTGAGAAGTAATTCAACACTTTTCAATTCAGTCTGCAAGAACCGATCGTTCCTGCAGATGTGCAGATCGTTCGTGAAGTTGGTTCTGGGACAGAAAGTCCATTAAGTTTCGTTTGTGTTCATCTGTTTTTAATTGCATCTTCCGATCTACACGCATCCTTGCTTCCTTAGTTTCCCAATAGTGCAATTACTTACTGATTTCATTTGGATATGACCAAAATATATGTAACCAATATTTCAAATATTGAAATGGGTTGGCATAGACCTTATTACAGTTCACCGACTTGGCTTAGACGAGTCAGTCAGTTTGGCGCATATTTGGCAATACAGTTGATGAGCTGATCATCACCCGTTGAAAGTTCAATTTTCAGATGATTTAACAATAAGCTTTGCACGGACTGGTTATCAGTTGTATTAGGAAACGCTAGTTGAAGTTCCAGAAAATCACAAACGTTTTTTCTACCTCTTGAACATTTAAAAAGTTCCCAGCAAAACTAAAGTAGTGGGTGGAATTGGAAAGACTGCTTCAAGAACTGTGAGCAGTCCTGGAAGGGAGAATACAACCATATTGGCAGCTGTAAATGCTGCAGGAAAAAAAGCACCGCCATTGATATTATTTAAAGCAAAAAATCTTTGGAATTCTTGGATTCCCGAAAATGAAATTTTTCCCGGTACCGCTCATGGCGCTACCAAAAACGGATGGATGAAAGCTGATGTTTTTTACAAATATTCAGCAAAAACACTAATTCCAAAAATGGGCGCGGAAAGACCTCAACTACTGATATACGATGGCCACAGCACACATGTGACTGAGAAAGTGATCGAACTTGCCATTCAAGAGAATATTACAATCCTTAAATTGCCTCCCCATACGTCCCATTTATTACAACCGCTAGATCTATCAGTGTTTAAACCTTTGAAAGATAAGTGGGACGCAAAATTAGTTACATGGCAGAGACACAATATAGGTGTTAAGTTCCAAAGGCTACAGTTTCCACCATGGTCCAAAGCTCATGGCTAGAACTCCTTACGGAAACAATCTCAAATGGTTTTAAAAAGGCAGGTATTTTCCCGTACAATCCGAACGTGATATCTGAAAACGTGTTTGATCCCGAAAGCCTTAAACGTTGGAAGAGGACGCAGGAGGAAACACCTCAAGAAATGCAGGAGGAAACACCTCAAGAAACGTAGGAGGAAACACCTCAAGAAACGCAACAAGAAACAACTCAAGAAACCCCTCCTCAAGTAGAAAATATTGAGCCTGTGGCGAGTACTTCTGCAGAGCCAAATCTTCCAAACGGCAAAGTTTATCAACCACCAAACGTTTCATTTGAGCAGCTTTTGTTAGAAACTATCAAACAATCCAAAAAAGACCCGATCACTAAACGTAAGCGTATCGCCCCCGGTTCAGAAATCATTACTTCCAAACAGGCTAAAACAAAAATGGAAGAGGTGGCAAAGAAGTTATGTAAAAAGAAAACCGAGGTGGCACCTGAAACAAGCGAATCTGTTGACGCCTCCATTGATTATATTGAATTCGAGGACGATCTGGATGCGGAAGTCTTTTCTGATGTTTCTAACGAGGAGCGAGACTGTTTCTTAGCAATAGCAATAGCAATAGCAATAGTACAATATAATAATAAAAAAACACAAAGACATTATATTAAAAATATTGTTCCAACCTATTTTCAACTATTGGAATAGAAACATATAAGGTAAGTCATCACATCTTTCCCATTCAGTACGAATATTTGAACATTCATATTATGCAGAAATTTTACCGAAAATATCAAACAGTATTCAGAAACCAGAGCTAACTAATATTGTTTTTCAGGCGATATGGCTCTAATATGTAAGTAAACCTTCTGGAAGTGATGAATAACAATCTACGCAAGAAATATTCTCGGAAAGGTATAGAGAATAAGGCAGGCAACGGCTGAAAAATGATAGGTGGCGTAACTGAGAAACAAACAATAACAACTATTTCAACCTAGCGCGGAATTTCGGATCTCCAACGTCGATTGGCAATAGGAGAATGCGTAAGTACTGGTCAAAGCAGTTAGTCAGGGAGCATACATATATTCTTGTACATTTCAGGTTTGGTTTTCTATGGAACGGAAGATTCCCATTACTATGCTGTTAAATGAATAAAATCAACTTGTAACTGAATTACATTGTTAACATCCGCTGAATAAAGATCTTAAAAGGTAAGGTAGTGTTTTGAAAGGTCACATAGGAGCAGTATTGATCTAGTGCTAAATTGAAACGTAACATCAGGCAGTGCAAGATGAACAAAGACAGCCAACCCGCCAAGGTTAGGGGGACTTTTATGTTTGAAAATTTCAAAACATGAACAGGCTGTATAATCGTACTAGGTCGGTAAGAGGTATGGGGAGTATAGTGGATGAGGCAGAACTTCGATGCTCAATTTGTTTGTGACCTGTACAGATGGGCGCTGTCTTGCAACAGATTCGGTCCTCTTCTGTTGACCAGTGCCGGCTGCTGCTGTCAGAATTTTTGGTTCATTTCGTCGATAGGACTGATGTAATGATTTGGCCTGGTTGCAGAAAGTTATAACAGTAACCATGGTCTTTTTTTTATGGGTTTTCGTCTTTGGAAAATGCATGAGTAGCGCAACAGTGTCCACTCACTGTCCTGAACGTTTAATGTTGTCGTGGATGATCCACTTTTCATCACACGTGACGATCCGATCCAAAAAATGATCGTTTTGATTGGGCAAAAGCAAAGAAGAAGAGACCTCGAAACGTAACAATTTCTGTCGGTCGTTCAAATCATGGGACACCTACTCTTCGAGTTTTTTTATCTTTCCAATACGTTTCGAACCAACAAAACCGCATGAGAGCTGTCGCCCAGTTCTTCCGCCATCACACGCATCGTTTGTGATGGGTCAGGGTCCTCAAATTCTCGTGCTGAGTTTTTGAAGATTGACCACTTGATGGCTCTTCTTTGAGGCTGAAATCTTCGGAATGAAATTTCGCAAACCAACGTCGCACAGTGCGTTCATTAACACTAATGCCTGGTTAATTTTTTGAGCTGTTTCGTCAGCGCTTCAGTTCAATTTGAATTCGTAGAGAAAATGGGTCAAAATTCGTTTAACGACGTTACAAAACACGTTAGCTATTTGATTCAAATGTCTTTTAACATTTATGGCCCACCACAAAATCCTATAATAAGAATGCAGTCATTAATCGCACAAAAGTATGCACTTGTCCCAATTCAATGGGGTAAGAGCATACCTACACATTGTTTTAAAAAAACTCAAATATTTTAACCAAATTAAAATATTTTGCTTCCCAAATACATATATATTTGCAAAGGTATCAGGTACTTATAAAATCATAGTGAGAATTTGATCTTAATTTTTACTAATTTTGGAGATAACCAAAAACGAAAATGGGGGTGCACTTACCCCACCTAACCTTACTACAAAGTAAACAAGTGAGGATTTTCCAGCAAAAGATTTACAAACACAAGACGAGATATGGGCTGTACTACGGAATCATTCAACCCAGAGAGATCAGGAGTATTGATTCTGCTATTTTTTTACTCACGAAGAGTATTCAACAAGAACCCCAAGAATTCGGAGCAATCCTCTTGTTGTCCTAACGAGTATCTAGTGCACTTCAAAGCCTCCAGGAAATCGCTTGGTGGGAGGGATGATACAGTCTTACGAAACTTCAACTGCATGAACAATTGTTTGAGTTAGGTGAATAAGTAGGAAATATTTTCGTTCTCGTTCGTCGTTAAAACCTCGTTCTTGTAACAAATTATAACTCCGGCGAAGTTCATTTTAATATTTCGAAAACAAGGCTAGTAAACATCAATATTTATTTACTTTTCAGTATTCGATTCATTTGCGAAATTCCCAGTGGGCATCTTATACGGAAATTATTATCAAATGGGGAACTTCGACGAATGCGTTGGCGTACGGAAGCATATCGAAATGAAAGACCTTCAGGGTCAATACTGTTTAGCGGACATATATTTCAAACAAAAAAACGAAAGGGTGGAGAGGTCTATAAATCTACCACTGAAGGTGAGTAATGTAATTTGCAACAGAATGAATTAACTATAATAACTGAATTGTTTCTTAAAATATCTGAATTTTGTCTGGTGAAGTGACTTGAAGACGCCTGAGTAGCGGATAATGCCTTGATCATCAATGATTCATTAATTTACAGAAATACCGTTATGCTTTCAACAACAGCCTACTACATTGGGGCATATGTTTACCATCAGCTTGTACGACGCTAGACTCTGAAATTTTCACACGTGAAATATTCGCTTCTTCCGCTGAAAATTTCGAAGTGGTTTCTGTTTCGGTAGATCCAATCAAATGCACTGTCAATAAATCTCCGCCATTCACCACTTTGGAAATTGTTTACGGGTAAGTTATGAAAAAGATAATCGAAATAGTCAATATCACCATCGTTATTCATTTCACCAGAAGGCAATCCTTTACTTTGCTTGTGATAGCCAGAAGTACCATAACTTGGACAGCAGTACAAAGACTTGGTACTCCTGAAGATGTTTTCAACTCATTTAGATGAAACTTTGTAATCTCAAACGAACGTTAAACAGTCGAAAACACAGCAAATACAATGGAACCTATTTTTTCACACATCTCCGTATAAAACTAAATCCATGTTTTATTTTTCAGGTGTATAATAGGATGTTTTCTCATATTCACAATTCTAGCTACTCTCGTCCATTGTTGTTACATTCAGCAAATGAGGAAGGCTGCTAAATACAGTGTAGACACCCTCAGGCATGAACAGTCTGAAAACGCTTTGAAAAAAATTCTCATTTGTTTCTCAATTATTCAAACTACTGGGAAGTTATTGCAGACAAAATCTAATGAGTCAAACTTGGAATGCATCTGCGGAATAAAGTGTATATCCATGATTTTGATAATCATTGGGCATTCGTTGGTGTTCATATTTGGTGGTCCAGTCGAAAATAAAGATTTTTTTGAAAAGGTTAGTTTCAAGGATTCGAATAAAAACTCAAATAACCTATTAGTCCAGTCATTTAAGGTTTTATCTGCGGAAAAATTCCTACTGAGCCGAATTTTGGTATACAGCTTCATTATGGCGTTTTAAAGAAGATGTGACATTGATATCGTGTCGGCTTAAAAAGTTATAAGGGTCAAAAGGTCACGAAAATCTGATTTTCCGGAATATCTCACGACCTATGGCTCGGAGGTCAATAAAGGTCATTATAAAAATTATTCCTCATACGATTATCTACAAAAAATATCTCTTGCATTTTTCTGTAAAGTCAACCGTTTTCTGACTAGAGCGCTGAGAAAGCGACTACATTATGATGATGCACTCGTTTCCGCACCACCTTTCAGGTAGTGCGGTAGTGGTTTCCCCCGTAGGCATAATCCATGAACTGTAATAAAGTGTTTTTATTTTATTTTATGCTCGATAATTTTTTATTTGTACAATGAAAAATAGCGGAAACAAAATTTTGTTTATTATTTTCTTTTATATTCATTCGTCGTCGATATCCTCAATTTGAACTTCATCATAAGTTGCTGACAAAACATCGAGTGGACTTATTGCTGTATTCAAATCAACATCTTCATCATTTTCTTCACTAGTGGACTCTGTGTTTAAGCATGAATGACCACAACAATGTCCACAAGCTTTAGAACATCTCAATCCAATTTTTTTACATCCACATTTGCCACCACAACCTTTTGTAGATTATCGGGTGCTGCTGGCAATAAAGTCGTTATTGGTTGTAATATATTATTTTTCAACTCCCAACCCCACTATTGTGGATCAATTTATTTTCCTAGCCAGGTTTGTATTTGATAATAGACTCGATAAATATTCTGTTAAGCTGCTGAAGAAGTGGGTGGTAATAATTGAAATTTCACAGCTGTGCTTTGTCTTGTTAGTTTAGCAAAGCTGCAGTATCTGTAATTGTCAATTGAATTTTCTGATTTTGGAGCACCGTACATTGCTAGTAGAAAATGTATTCCAGCATTGACAAGGGCATCTCGAGCGCAATTTTCTTGTTGAAATATTTCTGCTGAATTGTTTTTTAAACATCTTCATGACTTCAATTTTTCCTTTTCCAAAAAGTGTTGAAGTTGTGTCACATCCGGTGATAGCATGTAGAAAGAATATTTTTCTTGCAGTGTGGATACTTGTTGAGGCTTTCAGTCGAGTAAATTTTTGTTTCAACATTGTTTTTTCCTGGTTTCTTAAAAAAATGGATGTAAGTTGATCAAGTATTTGTGTGCGTGCTATGGGAAGTACCAATAGATCTATGTCTTCGCCAGCGAATATTGTGGTATTATTTATTGTTTTTTCAATTGCTGTTTCAACTATTAAGACATCTTGTAGAAATACCAACTTTTTCGAAATACTCAATGAGCATTTCAATTAATTTTCATGTATAAGGGGACGGGTCTCAGAACAATAAGGAACGGAACATCTGCCAGTAGAGATCATTTGTATTGTATATAGTAGATTTTACTTTCGCTTTCTCAGCCGTCTAGTCCGAAAACGGTTGACTTTACAGAAAAATGCAAGAGACATTTTTTGTAGACAATCGTATGAGAAATAATTTTTATAATGACTTTTATTGACCTACGAGCCATAGGTCGCGAGATATTTCCGAAAATCTGATTTTGGTGACCTATTTACCCTTATAACTTTTTAGCCGGCAGGATATCAATGTCGATTTTTCACATCTTCATTAAAACGCCATAATGAAGGTGTATACCAAAATTGACCTCAGTAGGAATTTTTCCGCGGATTGAGGTTTAAAAAATCTAAAATCACTGGATTATAAAGTTAATAACTACTACATGGGCTGAAAAGTCTCGGCCCTAACACATAGATGGCACTAGTCTTATTACATTCTCTGCTTCTTCAGTTAGTACTAACCTTCAAAAGAGAACTATTGAAATTTCATGATATTCTACCCATAAGTTTGTGAGTTATTGTGCTGAAAGTGACACTATTTTTGTTATTTTCAAAACAATGGATTAAAAACAATTTCGTGTTTGAATTTTTTACTGGTTCTTGATGGAAAAAATATCGTTCAAGCGGAACAATGACTTGAAAAGTTCATCAGAAACCACAACTGAACGTTGGTTTGCTGACTTCAAACGTGGTCGTAGAGACACCGATGATGCAGAACCATTGGAAGTTCAAATGAGGCAGTAACACTAGAAAACATAAAAAATCCACAAAATCATTTTGAATGATCGAAAAGTGAAGTTGCGTGAGTTTTCTGACATTGCGAAGATATCAAAAGAACGTGTTGGCTTTATATTGCATGAGCATTTTACTATGAGAAAGCGCTAACCTAAGTGGGTGCCGCGCGAGCTCACTGTTGACCAAAAACAAGAACGTCTTGATGATTCTGAGCAGTGTTTGGCCATGTTCGAACATAACAAACCGGAATTTTTGCGTCGGCATGTGACAATGGATGAAACATGGATCCATCACTTCACTCCGGAATCCAAAAACGATCGTCATATGAGTGGAGAGCAACTGGTGAACCTCGTCCACCTCAGTCAACTACGACGAATCATATAACATCTGCCATTATTTTTCCGCCCCTTTCACGAATTCCAATTGCGCTTTTCGAATGACAGAGATATTGGAAGCGATTGTGTGAGTAAATCTCTAAAATCAACGCCATCACGCCTTCAGAAAATTATGTCGAAAGAGCATCGAAGTAATGGAAAAATCGAATGAGGAATTCACTACTAGTCCTAAGAATAGCCTCAAAGAGCAGCTACGAGCACATTCTCCTAGAAGAGGCCCTAAAAACACTTCTAGAATAATATTTATATTGTGATATCAAAACCTTCCGAATGAATTGAAGACCTCTGTCAAAGCCAAGTAGACGCTCGAATAGATTTCGAAGATATCAGCGAAAGTTATGCCAAATGTTGTTAAACGCCCAACAAACGAATCAGTCTTACGTTTTCATCAGTCTCATCTGTTTTCTCTTGAAAACAAACAAGTGAATTATACATTTTTATAGAGCAATCAATTCTCTAGTAGATAATCCACCTAACAGGTGAGAATTTGTCTATCAGACGAACAAATCCACGATCAATCCTCTACAGTGACTGATTGAAGGTATTGTTTTGTGTGAGGTGTGAAATATGTACACTCCACTGATTAGAAGTATGCAGTTGAAGCTCGTAAGTAGATTAATAGTATTCATTTCCACGGAGGAAACAGTTCAAGTGACGGTGGAAAACGGCTGTCCCTAGAGAGAAATACTATGGTCAGTTGGTTGTCGACCATCTGATAGCACAGCGTCACGATCAGGGCTTCACTAATCAGGTTTCATCATGAGCATAAGGAGATTATCTGAGAACAGGTACAAACGGTTTCAAACTCAATCCAGAGCTTGATTGCAAAAGATGGACTTACTGTGCACCCAAGTAAAACAGTACTGGCTCCCAGCGGGTGCATGATGGGAACCAGTAATTTCTAAACGAACCTTGTCTATATTTTCAAAAAATACATAGGTATGATTATCCACACTGACAGAATTGCATGCTGTAGATGGCATGTATTTCGATAGAGGTATTCTAGGGGTATTCCTCTAACTCAATGATCTACAACTCCTGGTTACAATAATAACTTCGAGTATTTCAATTTGCAATTTTCAAATCATTATTTTATAATGAAGTGTATCACTTTTGATACAATTCAATGTTGAAAAAATTAATACTCACATGAATATAGAATAAATGATTAGGTCAATAATTCCAGATGATGAATAAATGTATGGCTTTATTTCATTGTTTATTTTCAAGGAGCTAACAAGAGTTGAAAATGGACCTCTACTGAACAATCCACTGCTGGTGGATAATTTTTTACTCGTAAGTGGCTTTTTGATGTGTCGACTTCTACTAATTGAATTAGAAAGAAGGAAAGGAAAATTGAACGTTGTCATAATTTATGCTGCTAGATACATCAGGTGAGTCGGGATTTTAACAATTATACAATATTTTTTATCAGTCTTGAGAAGGAATGAGTATTGTACATATGACATCTAGTTTGTTTCTATTTGTGCTTACAATTATACTGGTAGAGAATAAAATGGAAGAACACCATGAATTCTTCACGAACAATGTTTTGCTATTATGCTTATCTAGTTTTTGTGCCAAAGTTATCGATGATTGGGGTTATTAACCTCAAATATCTATGTAAGGGTCTATGTAATTGCGGCCAAAACGATGAAGGTTCTACTGCTTGGATGATGTATATGAGGGGTGTAGATGAGGGGTCAGAGAGATACTAGTATTGTTTTCCATTTTCATCCATGTATTCCAAACAGTCTGATACCGTCTTGTCCTGAGTTTGTTTTCATAAGTATCGGAAAGGAAAGAAGGCGAAACCTTATTAAGCAAGCAAACACTCAGGGCTATGCTTAATTGGTCATTAGCAAAAGCTGTATATCCATAGTGTTGGCGTCGATTCATAAACTTAGAGTCCTGTTTACATTGCATTATACCACTTTTGGCAGATGAAAATCACGTTTTCCATTTCCCTTCTATTTCGAAGATGATACAAATTTCAAAACTTTCTTCAACGAAATATTCTTCCTAGCTCTCGAACTGTTTTCTCGAAAAGTTTTCCTTAAATAACAATGTTCTATAGAACAGCTTTCATTTTTGGTTGTTTCATTTTCGCTTTTTCATTTTTCTTTCTCTTCTTTCCAACCTTTTTCTTCTCCTTTTTCTTTAGTATCTTCTTCTCTCTCTCTCTCTCTTTGCCTTCCTCTTATCAATCTCTTCCTTCTTCTGTTTTTCTTCATTCTTTTTCTTCTTTGCTACTCTTTCATTTTCTTCTTGTACAACCTTATTTTTCTTCTCTAATTGTATCTCCAATAACGCAATTTTCACTGGGATACTTGAAGTTTGGAGGCTTGGTGATATTTTACTTCACTTTTTCACTTATGATGAGGTTGAAAGAGAGGAGACGCTATCGGGAGGTCAGTATCACCATTAAATTGGGAGTCATCAAATACTTGTTATGAAAAATAAAGGGCACAATACTCATGGTAGCAAATTCCTCAACAACATTGCTAAAAATAGTTACTTTGCTGTATGCGACATCAACTAGAAAAGCTAAAATAAACTAGCAGGACACGGAGAAACGTAGGTTGGTAGCATTGGAATAACAGGGAACAGTTATGTTTGAGCCTCTTTCATCTGAAAAAAGTTTCATAACTGGTCGCTTTCCAGCTGGAGAAATCACATCAGAGGTTTTTGAAGTAACTGTTGAACATTCTGTCTCGTTTTCATTATACATCTGGCAAGGCTTGACTACTTCTTTCTTCAAAATACTCTCAAGGAGGGTAAAAGAGGAATCAACGGTACTTTGTTGAAGAGTTACAGCCTGGCTACAGAACTACCTTCAGGTTTCCTCAGTGATGAATCAAAATGTTTCATGAAGAAAGGCTTCATACTGACTGAAGGTTGGTTTGAATCTGTCCTAATGATTTGGATTGTTACTTTCCTGACATAACAGCACAAAGTAGTTGCTAGTTGACATAAAAAAAACAATAACTGAAATATCTCTCAGGGTGAATGTATAAACTGGGAACTTTTATTACTTTTTTAAACCAAAACAACATGCATTCCGCCCATATGACTATGAAGGCCCTGAATGATGCCGTAACGTGTCTGCAGTACCTGTATTTTGTTGGTACCCCGCTAGAGACTATTTCCTGTCCGAAGCAGTTGCTGCTATATACAGTTGTTGCCGATTCGCCATTTTAGACTCCTCATTTCACCCAAGTTTCCCCTAGGCTTGGTAGTAAATCCCTGATGAGAGCGTAACCTGTTCTGAGGTAATTCCTTGCCCTACCTCAAAAGGGATTTGGTTATAGTTGAACCAGAAAAGCTACTTAGTCAATTTGAACAGAATCACATGCAATATTTCACAAAATATGTTCTTCGACAGAATATTACTTGCATTGAAATGTTATACTCATGACTTTTTCAATTTATTCATTTCAGATTGACGCCTGTCTACTTGATTGTTATAGGGTTCTACACTACGTTTCTACACAGGACAGCATCCGGTCCATTTTGGGAATCAAGAGTAGGCTTGGAACGAGATAGATGTTTGAACTCTTGGTGGACAAATATCTTATATATCAACAATTACGTCAACTCGGATCAATTGGTATGTATAGATCTTTTCAAAGGTTAGGTTAGGTTAGGTTTAAAGTGAGTGGGTCTATTCAACCCTCCACCGCAACCCGCAAGGGTTTATTGAGACTCCTCCTATTCACATTCGACCAAATAAATCCAGATTCTTAACAAAGCCGATTAGTTTGTATGGTAAGTGGTCTTTCAGGTCAGATGGTTAGAGTACGGCTCTGCCGAACTCTAAAAACCTGATTCGGTCCCCAGCGGGGCAGCCACAAAGAATATACTCTGCTATTTCATCATTTTTCAAACAGAGGCGACACACACACTGTCTTCCGACAGTCCGAGTCTCTGCATATGAAAATCAGTCAGTGACCTGTAAGAAGGCCTGTTAGACATCGCAGTTCATCCCTACTCTAGTGCAACAACTGTTTGGTATCAAGTTTCGAAGGGTGAATAAACGCCTTGGAGTGAGCCAGTCCTGGAAGATTCTGCCAGAAATCCATAATTCTTCTTGCCATCCAGGTGTACAATGTTTGTTTAGCAAAGCCTAAAGCGATGCCAATGACAGGTTCTGGTCCGATGAAGCTGCTTGCAGCACCCTCCTTTGCAAGGAAGTCAACAGCCTCATTGCCTTCCAAGCCAGTATGGCTAAGAATCCAGAGCAGAGACAATCTGTTGAGTCTTCCTATCGAGGAGAGTCGTTTTTGGCAATTTGCTACCAATTTATACGTTGTTTGGTAGGAGCCAAAAGCTTCTAATACCGCTTGACTGTTAGAGAATATTTTATTGACTTGTGTATAAGGTTGGATTCTTCCAATCTCTCCCCACACAATTCAGTAGCGTAAATTTCCGCTTGAAATACAGTCGCATAGGATTCTAGGCAGGTAGATATCTCTGTCCTGGATCTGCGACTTAAAACACTCGCACCAGAACCGGAAGGTGTTTTTGATCCATTTGGGAACCAACAACTATCTGCTCTTAATATTTCCTTCTCCCAGAGGATCCAGTCCTTTCTACTCGGGAACAGTACTTTATAAGGCAGTTCGTAGTTGACAGTTGGAGGCATAATGTCAGAGGTCATTTCCAGAATGCTGTGACTTCCAGTATCAGCCAACAGTCTGTTGCACTCTGCAATAAATTTATTTGTGCAATTGGCAATATGCACAAGTCTGTATGCAGTCCATCTAGCCTCTCTCTCCAGAAAAATGTGTAGAGGAGGTAAGTCTAGAAGGATCTCCATGGCCGCTGATGGTGTGGTACTGATGGGCACCACTGATAGCCAGACAAGCCTGTCTCTGTAAGCCAGAGAGCTTCGCCTGGGCCGTTTTCTGTAAAGCCTTCATTTTAAAGATTATCTCGAGATGTATTATATCACCCAACATTTCCTAACATTTTCAAATTTATCTTTAATGTGTTTTTTATGTATTTCATGTATTTTTAGTGTATGTTCCAGTCATGGTATTTGTCGGTCGACTACCATCTGTTCATTATAGCTCCTATTATAATATATCCTTTGTGGAGGTGGAGAAAAATAGGAGAAATCATTCTAGTTGCTTGTACCTTAATTTCGGGAGCAATTCCCTTGTGGATAACTTATATGAAGAATTTGGATCCTACCTTACTGGCGTATCCCTCGTAAGTTTAATTATTTTAATTTATTGGATACCTTGCACATTCAGTTTATATGCTTGAATTTCTGGTCAAATTCGATCTTGTGGAAAACATTACATTTGCCTCTACAATCTGAAGGGTTTCTGAAATATAATTGACCCACGATTTTAAGAATGGTGTTGATGTTTACAACTCCTTTAGTCGTTTAAGAAAGAATAATATATGTAATTGTCAAATCAAATAGTTTCTTATATATAAACTCGTATAATATTGAATGGTTTGCATTATAGTTTGACTATGAATTATTAATAGATTTTTACAGGGAGTTGGAAGACATATCAACAAACTTCTATTACATGAATGCCTACATAAAAACCCATATGAGATCAAGTTCCTACTGTATTGGCATTTTCCTTGGGTATTTGGTGCATAGATTACAAAGCTCAGGGTGAGTAATAATAACCGTTACATTCCTTTAGAAACATACATGTTCATAGAGGTAACAAAAAATATAACACCTAACATGAAACAGTAACAAAAAAAATCAATTATCACTCAATACTCCGGAAAATATAGAATATCTTGTGATAGTTGAATTCAGTGGTACAATTGATGTTCTTTTTGTATTCAGATACTTTATTATTGTTCATTTTTACCATACCATGGTAAAAAGCCACAAACAGATTCTGCTACATTTAGAATACTTTCACCATTAACGCTGGTGTTCCCCAGGGATCCATATTGTCTCCAACTCTCTTTCTATTATATATCAACGACTTATTGAAAAAAAAACAAGAATTCAATATATTGCTTTGCTGATGACAACACATTTGTCTCGTCATTACATTTTGGACTCCAGGACATCGGCTGCGGATGCACATTTTCACCGGCAGCAGGAGGTTGAATATCTCAATGAGGATCTAGAAGTTATTTTGAATTGGGGTGAAATTAACCCAGTTCGATTCAATGCCACAAAAACCAAGGCATCGGTTTTCTCTAAAAACATAAATGTTTTCGAACCGGATATAATAACGTCTGCTTCGGTAAGTTTGTTGGAGATTAAATGGACACCAATATGTCCTAGCACAATCATGTAGCTGGAATTGCAAAGGCTGCAAAAGCTTGGAACACTGTTCCGAACCAGAAAACTGTACACACCTCAACAACTTTTGATGCTTTATAAAGCTCAATTCAGACCTTCATGAAGTATTGTTCTCATGTATGGTGCTCCGCGCCCAAACATACCCTGCAACTGCTGGACTCCATCCAGAAAAGAACCATCCGCCTGATTGGAGACGCGAACATCACTTGCAACCTGGAAAGTCTGGAACATCGAAGAAAGGTTGGAGAATTGTTTCCCTTCTGTAGATGCTTTCACGGGAAGTGTTCAAGTGACTTGGCACATTTAATTTCACCAAGAGCGGTACAAATCAGAAATACGCGACGTACTGTGGCTGATGCTCATCGTTTTGAGGTTCAACTCAGTACACCTCGAACTTCACTGTTTGAGAACTCTTCCATTTGGAGAATGCCATTTATGTGGAATAAACTTCCTGAGAAGGTTTTTCCGAATGGATTTAATCTCCAACGATTCAAATCTGTAGTGTTTGTTTTGTCCTTGAAAAAAAGTCACACGAATTGATAAGGAAAACTCTTCTTTTATAAAAAAAAATATAAGTCGATTAGATAAAACAGCCCAGAAGAAATGAAGGTATTAATAATAAATAAATGTATTTTTGGTGTTTACCCAACTTTTTAAGTTGCCAATCATAGGCAATTTGGCGTTTATGAGTGATTTGAATTTATAGGATAAAGATGCGACCATCCATACTTACCTTAGGATCAATTTTGGCAACTTTATTGGGAACTGTGTCGATGTATTCAATAGTGATATTTTTTGATCCAGGACATACGGAAAACATGATTGAAAATGCAGTTTATGCTTCATTGCATAGAATTGGCTGGAGCTTGGCCATAGGATGGGTAATCCTAATATGTGTTACGGATCATGCAGGTAAAAATCAATCAGTTCCTTTTCTGTCCAAACAAATAATATTTGCATGAATTGAAACTACTGTACTACAAAATTACCAGATAAACAAACAATTGTCAGGAAAAGTATTAGAGGAAAAGCTGAATAACCCAAATTCTGTCCTATGAAAGGTGTTGTTCAACAACATACTTAGGGGCTGGTTATTTTTGACTCTGAGAAAAAATCTTCGAAATATCTAGGTCATTTCATAAAAAAATCTTCAAAACTTCAGAACCTTCACCTGTACCTAAGACCCTAAAATAACATCCTCAAGTAGCTGTTTGAATGTTTTTGAGAAATACCCTATAGAAAGTTGATACAAATTCATTTTTAAAATGCCCTTTTGCTTGAATGTATAATCGCCGTTTTCAAATGGTTTAGTAACTTCAATAATACAAATAATTATTTGTTTTTAGGAATAGTAAACAAATTTTTATCCTACAGAGCTTTCATTCCTCTGAGTCGACTGACCTACTGTGCATATCTGGCAAATGGCATAATTGAGATCTATAACATGGGTGTAATGAGGCAGGCATGCTTACAATCAAAACAATCAAATCTGCGTGTTTAAATCAAATGTTCAAATTGTCCTCCACTGACTTCCATACAATAATACAATCTTGACTTGAGATGTCCCCAGAAGAAGAAGTCCAGAGGATTCAGGTCAGTGGATCGGGCAGGCCAGTGGATCGGGCAGGCCACATAGCACCTCTTCTTCTAATCCAACGACCGGGGTATTGCAAATTGAGGTACTGGCGAACTGGTGCGGCCTAGTGCGGAGTAGCTCCGTCTTGTTGGAAATGCAATTGCTCAAGTAGTAGAGGATCGTTTTCTAATTGTTCAGTTAATAACGGATCAATCACATTTTCCAGCATTTCAAGATAACGTTCGCCAGTTACATTACCAGGTCTCCCAAAATTCCTAACCAAACGTTTAGCTTTTCTGGATGTTGAGTGTGAGCTTCTCGAAATACATGAGAATTTGTATCGCTCCAAATTCTGCAGTTATGCCGGTTAACCGGTTGACATTAAGTAAAAAAGTGCATTCGTCAGAAAAGCAAACGTTGTACAAGAAATTTGGTTTATTGTTGATACGCTCGGCCATAATTTCGCAAAAATCTTGCCTTCGAACCGAATCATCATCATTAAATTCATGAATTAATTTAATTTTGTACGGATGGAACTTGTGTCTATGTAAAATTCTGAAAACATTAGATTGACTAATACCGGAAACTGCAGAAAGTTGTCGTACAGATTGCGTGTTTGGCATAAGTTGGACATATCCCAATACCGCCACAGCTTCCCCTTCATCATTCACAATTCCAATGGGTGCCCTTTTTTTTATCCATTACTGAACCCTTCTCCACAAATTTTGAAATCAATTCCAGTACGTACTTATGGCGAACACTACGTTCAGGATGGTTTTGGATAAATATCCTTGCAGCCGCTCGGGCACAATTTTTTTTTTGGTAATAAAGGCTAACCAGCTCAACACGTTCCTACAATGTTTATACCATATTTTTTGAAATTTTCAACAAATCAGCAAAGTAGTAACTCAACAGATTGATTTCAATTTTGAAATGATCGAAGAAAAGTTACAACCAGATAATCACTTTCTAAACACAAAAAAATTATGGCAAGATAAGGAAATGTTTTGCTGTTTTTTCATTTATCAGTTTGAGAGAAAGTATTATTGTATGGAAGTCAATGGAGGACAATTTGAACATTGGATTGAAACACGCAGATTTGATTTTTTTTATTGTGAGCATGATGATAACGCAATTAAATTTTTCAAGAATGTAATTTTTTGACGATTGTTTGAGTTTGTAAAAAAGGCTTAATAAAAATGGGCTTGTACATTGTGAAAATAACCCCTCTCTACTATTCAAGTTTGAGGGGTTGAAGATTACTCGTTCAAGCCTAAAATATTTACGTCAAAAGATGTCCTCTAAACAAAATCATTCGACGTGTTTCGGGAAATTTTTCCACTCACCATGGGATAAGAAATAAACGGGATGGCTCGCCTGAGATGGTACACCCTGTATATGAAAATTACGTTTTCATCACTGTTTCTCCGTAAGGCTATATTTTCGGAGACTGAAATTTTGTATGTAGGTTCTTTTTATGTTACAGATGTGCAATAAATAAGGATTTGTGAATATTCCATCTGCGAGGGAAAGAAGCGCGTTCGTAAAATAAAGTTACCTTTTTCTCCGTACTGGTATATTTTCGGAGGCTGAAATTTTGTATGTAGGTTCGTTTCATATAAGCAAGCAAACACTCAGGGCTATGCTTAATTGGTCATTAGCAAAAGCTGTATATCCATAGTGTTGGCGTCGATTCATAAACTTAGAGTCCTGTTTACATTGCATTATACCACTTTTGGCAGATGAAAATCACGTTTTCCNAGAAAACATCGTCAATTGATTTTCGACAACTAGAGATGAGTATCTAATCTGTTTCAACAGGATGGTATTGTAAACATTCTATATTGATTCTTCAGGACACAAAGATAGAATTTACGTTTTTTTTTTCAGGCAAACAAGTGTCTTGCCCATGTGTTATTAACCTACAGTATGGCATTTGTTCTTTGCATCATATTCGAATCACCTATACACGGTTTGGAAAAAATACTGTTGACCAAACACAAAGTCAAGGAATTGAGGGAGATTTCGTCACTAAGACCACTCGAAGGAACATAAAATTGAAGTATTCAACATAAGAATATCATGTTCTTGGTGAATTTTAAAGTTACATCCACGCATTGGAAGATGAATTTATTATGGGGTATTATCCAATGAACTGTGCAGTATATAGAGGATGAAGAAAATTTATTTATAAGTTTATTCTGTGATTTTTTTGCTCATAAAGGCATTCCAATTGAGATATACTTTACTTTCGGAAATAAAAGCTACAGGGTTTTGAGACCTACCTAATGATGTAGACAAATAATTGCTTACAAATATTTCTTTTGCATAACAGCATAATGATGCTTTGTGACTATCTTATTTCAGCAATCGAATAGTGAATGAATTTTCTGCATCTGGTAATATTACAATCAAAAACAGAATTGAAATAAACTCTCACACCCCTCATGGCTTTCCTGAATTGTATGCAAATCTGTTTTTATGATAAATGGATTAGTGAAATTGTGTAATTTCGAAAAAAAAAATAGAGAAAAATATCAAATCTTGAGGTTCCTCTGAAGTCTCTGTAGTAGTGTATAAATTTTTTTACAATAGATGGCAACCACTGAAATAATTATTCCTAACGAAATGAATCAAAAGAAGTCATCTGCCACTGCTTGAAAATGCCAACTTTCTTCATAATTGACGTGATTATTGATTATAAAAATGTTTGATTAAAACTCTCATGTTTCGCAAAAAACAAAAAGTGAAAATTATATTTCTAAACACAGTTTGGGAAAACACGTCGAAAGATAAATACATCCACCATTCCTTACCAGTTTTTCGAAGACTTCTGAGCACATTAGATGATTTTACGTTAAAACAACTTGACGCAGTAAGAAAACGAAGTTTGCCAAGTTTAGAAAAATTCGGGAATTGAAATAATTATATAATTATAATTTAATTTAAAAGAGTTTTTTACTTCAGTATCTCGAAAATCGCACTGGGTTTTTTCTGGAGTGTAACTCTTGTCCTGGAAAAAATGTCAAATATAGGTACTATACGTTTTTTGTGAGACTGTGAAAAAGTGCATTTTTTATATTTTCGACGATAACTATGAAGCTTCAAATCTTTCACTTTTTCACTGACATAGAAAAATGAACCACATAGTATCTTTGATGCGTTACTACTTTCTGTTCAGATTTTCGAGGTGAACTTATGAAAACATTCAATTCTTGAATTTTCAATTGAAAACTAGGAAAGCTTTATTTTTTGTACATCAGGTTGAGATTTTCATAGATGACGTCATAGTACCACAATTTTCAATTTGGTGAATTGCTACTCCACCATTTTGGAAAGAAATGGGCATTTGTGTTATTTCGTATATACAGGGTTATTTTTAGAAGTCTTTGCTTGGATTCATTTCCAATCAAACCAAAATAGTTTTTTAAATGTTTTTTCATTAGAAATATCGGGTCAAATGAATTATACCTCCATGATGGATTTTAAATTCAAAAAAATACTGAATGGAACTGTGTACAATGATTTCGTTGCCACCTGGTATAGCTGCTATCGTTTTGCAACTTCTTAAACTGATTTATTAGAAGTTCCAGCTCATGGAAAATGTATTTTTCCACAATCTATAAAAATTCCTTGATCATTAAACAATCTAAGAAGACTTCTAAGAAAATTTGTAATGAGAAGACTGATTAAAACATTCGAAATTGGATTGTGTTTTTATTCAAATGTATAACAGATATGAATAATATCAACATGTCTTTTCTAATACTACAAAAAAAATCAACGCAATATACATTTCAAATCACAACGTATTATATACAAACGATAGTACCAATTGAACACCAAAAATATCCACTAAAAATTTTCATGAACAAGGTGAAAGCTGAATAATTTGTCAGAAGGTATCGGTAGTTCTGTTTTCAAATATCACAGTTTGTCGTTTTTTGCGTTTATTGATAGTGAAAAGACTGTTTTTTTTCTTCTCTCCCTGAGATTATATGTATTTTCTTTAGGTCGGAGTATAATTATCTCCAGTTGGTTGATTGTTGGGCAAGGATTTGCTGGTAACTATCAACAAAAAATGTTTCATTCTAACTAGAGGTGTCTGGATTTTATTGACCGAGTTTCCTTTCCTCTGCCTGATTAATTGCATTTAATTACTGAAACGTAAAACTAAAACTTCCAGCATAAAATAAATCCAGAACAAGCTGAAGATGAACTAGACTAATTCTCAACTCAAAATGTTCATATTTCTCTCTAAAAGGTACACCTTTACTTTAAGTAATATATCAATGACTTCTTGGGTACAAATTAAAGAGAAATTTCTCATGAAAGTTCTCACTATTTTTTATAAAGTGATTCATTTAAGAGTGGTAACAGTCTTATTCCAAACAGATCATTAGTAACTTATATATGAATGACTCTGAAAAAGCGAGGACCTTCACAAAAAATTTTCCAATAATTTTCACTCAAGAAATCATGGTTGTTTGACTGGAAGTACCCTGTTAGGTATAAAAATGCATAGTTAGAGTGAGAAATTTGTATAAGTTCGTTTGCCGATGATGCCAATTTGGTTGTAGAAACGTGCGTTGAGAAGAGTGTTGCAGTTCTAGTATGTGGATGCACGTGCGTGTGGTGTCAGATATGCCCTACATCATCAGCTTACTCGCCGGCAAGGCTCCATCTACCTGCAGGGCTATGAATATAATCTCAGGGCGAGAAGGAAGAGCAAAACAATAAAAGGCTCATGTCAACACTTCCAGATACTCAAATACTCAAGAAACTATAAAGACTTATGAATATCACACCGTCACGTTCAATAGTTTCACGAAAACTTCGGATGAGTTCTTAAAATTTCTAAAGTAACACTGATCTTGTCATCCACAAAAATTTAAAGTGGAAATTTGAAAATTACAGCTCATGAGTGAAAATAATTGACTGCACAAAAAACTTTACGCTGATATTTGACATAAATAATATCAAAAAGTGACTAACTTCGGACTGAATCCAAAAATAAGTCACTGAATGCGATCTCATCAGGACCATAACTGAAGGAAAAGTTTTCAGTTGTGATTCGCACAAGAATTTATTCAATTTTATTATAATAAATATTTTTAACATACAATAGTATTTTTAATGAAGACCCAAAGTTAGATGAAGGAAGTTGTATCTCATACATTTGAGAAAATTCATGACATTTCTGATAATTCTTTCTCAAAATATTATTATTCAGAACTGTGCTATTTTGACAGTTGTAACTGTTGAATAAAAACTAAGTGTATGTGGGACAAGAATACTATATATTTTTAGACATGGAAAATGCATTTTGTGATGCTCTTCAGTCAAATTAGCCCATTTCAGAAAATTTCGGAATTAGTCCTAAAATTGCTGCTAGTTTGGCTGCTGTTGTTATAGTTTTAGCATCTGTTATTCTGTCCGAATCAGGCATCATCTTATCTGCCACATGCTTGACCACTTTTCCGTCTGAGTTCACATAAAATGTAGAGAATCCATCATACCAACTGTGAAAAAATAAAATTAAACATTACAATCTTTGGTTTCTTCGACATCTTTTAAGAGGAACAAATTGAAACAGCATAATTTCAAAATGTCATGTAGAACCTTTCATGTCATCAAGTACCCAATAAGATTTTTATTTGTGTATTCGCAATACTTCTTCAATAAGCAATACATTATCATGCAGTAGTTGGACTCAAGTATCCTTGAAGGACAATCCTGAGTAAATAAGGACAATGACATCCCCCATTACTAAAAGGTGTTGTCTGGACTATAATTTCATCTTTTGTCACAATAATAAAATTTATAAACTTACGAAAAAAATGTCAACACAAATTTGAAACATTTTCAAGAAGTAGATTTTTTACATCTATTGAAAACCTGAATTGACACATTGCTATAACAAGTTCAATACAGTTTTAAGAATAATTTTTTGAACTTCGATTTCCTTGAAAATTTTTGTCTTTATAAAAAGAAATAAACCCAAAATGGGTTTTCCGAACATTAATTTCTTTGAAAAAATACTTCTCTCAATAAAAAAACTTTGAAAAATGTATATACCATATACCAAAATCTAAGTAGAATCATTTGTATATAACACATTCAAACTTTGATACACTATTACTTACTTCTCAGTTTTATCCAACATCTCTCTATAGTTCCATAACTTAAATTTCCAGAATGTCAACATAACTTTCCAAGCAGAAATTCCTATTATTCGCCAGCGAACTTTTATTGTGGAATCTTCTGGGTGTTGCGTGATTTTCATTATTTCAAATTTTACGTAAGCAAACTTCAGATGTCCCAAGGTTCTAAGTAGTGCCACTTGCCTGATATAGGCAAACAAACCGCTAGAAACCAAGTGAAATTACGATACTGCTAAAATAGATTAATGGAAATAGTGTTAACTATTTGATTCATATACCACAGGTATTGGTGAGTCTGGTGGTTTGGAAAAAAAAAGTATTGTGACTGTACCCAGAACAGTTTTGCAGCTCTAGTTGATTTAAAATAACATGTTTATTGATTTATTAAGAGTCTCTGAATCTATTTTTCTATGTTAAATATCTTTTTGGTGTTTCAAGAGATTTCTGAACTATGATAATTGAGTTGAGTACATAAATTACATTTTTGATTTGAGCCAAGTAGAAACAGGCATGTACAATAATAATTATCAAGAATTGGGAATATATTCCATTTTATAAAGATGCATGGATTTTTTTGCAACAATTATCAAGAAATGTCGAATAGATATTTTTGAATGCGTATAAACACATACATACCCAATAAAATACCCCAACTAGCCATACTGCCCAAAGAAGTCGTATATTAGTTCAGAAATCACTAGTGAGATATATGCTGATATGTTAGATTCTAGAGATAAGTTAGTACATGCATTTAAAGAAAAAAAATAGATATTTCATAGGAGAGATTAATTTCAAAAAAACTTTCTACTTCATTATTGAATAGAACAGGAAATCTTCCAAAAAAAACAAGAAGGAAATTTGAAATTTTTTCTTAATGAAAAAAAGAGAAAATCGTAAAACTATCTTCCTTAAGGTAAGCTCAGATACAAAGTCTAGTATTTTTCACTATTTTACAATAATGTTACATTCAACAAATATAAGTTGTTCAAATTTAATATTTGGCACAAAAACCATGAATTGGTTTATTTCTATCAATTCAATATTTTTATTTTCGTTCTTCAAGTAACTGACATAACCAGTTTTATTAAAACCTTAAATTAGCTTGTCACGAGCTCCCCACTTGGAAGATATTTGAGTCTTTTCTGAATGGGCAGTGGTCCATACAGGAGCCCCTAGGGTTTTGAAAAACCAGAATCGTCACACTATTTATGGAAATGTATTAAATAGATGAATCACGAAGTATGTGATGGAAAATGGCATATTTTGCACAAGTTTAGATAGCCTATCAAAACTACAAAACATTTGACTTTCAAACCAGTTTGTGAGCAAAGATGAACAACGACTGTTGAAAATAGAAAATCTTACACTGTTTTAATGTTTCTTATATGATCTTCGAATATAATGTTGGGATGGTATATTGAATAGTCTAGCGACTGAACAAATAGTTTGGGTAACGTCTCTCCAAGAATATTATATACATGTTCCAATTTCTCTGGGCTAGGTCCAGAAGATGGTTCTTTTTGATTTTCGGTGAACAGTGTTTCACTATTTCTTGATTCTGGAACATTTGAGTATCTGAAACAAATATATAATGGACTTTGATATAAAAGACTAGGAGTTTAAATAGACACTTACCTCAGATATAAGCTCTTTGAATCCTCTAGAGAGAAGGTGTCAATACAATATACTCTTTCTCTAATCACTAAATCATTGGCATTTTCTCTATTATCTATCACACTATCAATGGGTAGATAACTATTAACTTTTAGCTTATCATAGCTTAGCTTTGGACTTAGTTTTGTAGAATACTGGAAAATAAATTAGGTACATTAGGTAACGTCAGAAGTTTGAGGTTAGATTTTTCAACAGTTATTAATTCTAAAAAATTTGGTATCGACAACATAAAGCCCATATGCCCTCAAATTTCTAATCACTGCATTATATAATTTTACTAATAAAATTGTTCCTACCTGATCACATTGATTCGTAGAAACTTGTTTAGGAATTTTTTCTAAGTTGCAGACACTACTTCTCGAAGAGACTATGCTTGAGAAGGTTGTAAATTTATTAAGGTGCCTTATTCCAAGGGCCATCGTTAATGTATTTTTCATAAAATACAAAATGGTTTGATTTACACACTAACCACAAACATTTCATACTTTCATACAACCATTTTTCCATACAATAACCGCAATGTTGCCAATACGGCGTATTCAGGACATTCGGGTTCGCAGTTAGAACGATTCTAAAGATACCCAGCTGATTATGAAAGTCGATGCGCGCAAAACATTTTAAGTTTCAAGTCCTAACTGTGCGACTACATTTGACAGTTCGAAAACGTAGATTCAGTGACACCTTGCTATGTAAGATTATATGGGCTCAAAATATTCACCGGTGAAAATATATGAGTATGGACCAGAAAAATAAGTTAGCAAATCGAACATTTGCAAAAAATATTTGAGATGGGAACTAGCCAGACCTTTATATTAATGAATAGTTTGACATATTGACTGCGTTGAATGCAGAAGAGAGAAGAAAAGTGTTTATTACTGGAAAAACGTAGTAATATGCCACCTTTTAATTGTAGATCACAAAGTACCTATTTGAAACTCAAAAATAAAATCAATAGATCATCAGGTGATGAACTATAAATAACGATATCTGTCATATTTGAATCTGTGATATAATAGTGATCACCTAAACGTGACATGTTCTGTTCACGAATCGCGTTTTGAACGCGTTATACCTACCTATATTGTAATTGCACAACAGAAGAACATGATTAATGAAAATAACGTATTATGTGCAAGTAATCAGTGTCGAAAAGAAAACAGATTTCAAATAAAAAATTCAGCTGATCTGCTGATGGTGTTAGTTCAGTGCTCTGAACGCAACAACACGAACTTCTCGTGACATTTTGAACGTGGCTTTCGTGGTTTGAAATGTCAACGTCAAACACAGAACTTGGACGTTTTCTTCATTATTATCCAACGCTTGACCCAACCAGATCAAATGTTGAAAAAATATAAATGCGAGTTTGAAGTCAAAAATACCAGGAAAATAATCAGTATGACTCTTCTATGCGTTCGTGAAACGATTACAATAATTTAGAAAAATGTTGAAATGGAAAATGAGGTATTCAAGTAATAGTACATTAATATTACTGGAGTTTTATTCTAACATCGAACCGTTATTTTAACGCATCGACACGTGTTTCAATTACCAAGTGATCATCTTCAAGAGGAAGATTGTAAAATTCATTACTATACCAAAGGTTTCAAACAGTGCATCACAAGTAATACTCCATTGTGAGATTTTCACTAAACAGTTTACGAAACCGTAACACATATTTTGCTGTACAGTACCTTCCCAAAGAGTGTAAATACTGATCTATATGAATATACTTGAGAAAGCTATTTTATAGAGAAACACGTGCTGCAGTTTTGTGAACTGTTCAGTGGAAATCTCACAATGGAGAGCTGGCCAATTCCATATATAAAAAATGAGGTGTTCAACAACACAGCTGACTTCCACCATAACACGGGAGTCAAGTTGCAACTGTTGCAAGACACTCCAAAGCAAGCATTCACCGTCAAAAGTACCGTGAACATAGGTACTTTCGAGTTGACGCTCGGAATGCTCGTGGCACACACTTTTTGAACTTTTGTTATTTTTCAATCGCGAGGCGGTAATTGTACCTAATATTTGTTTTGTGTTAGAATAGGCTTTTTGGACTGGCCTTGGCTTCCCTGTCTTTCTAATTTGGGAACGGTCATACCTATTACCTATATGATTAGTTGTTTTACAAGTGTTCATCCGTTGTGTGTTCTGCACTCATGTTCCTGCATCTCATGAAGCAGGAGCATAAATTAAAGTTCAATATTAACTCTCCGATACGCAAAAAAATTTAGTACCTATTTTTAACAATGTAGTTATTATATTATTGTCATGTTCGGCATTTAATGCCATATCAGGTTTCACCAAAAGAAAACGAAAATAAAATGAAAGTGAATGTATATTAGTGGGTGTTTACTATTAAATTTGAATCATGTGATTTTCTCTGTCACCAGATTCAGACCAGTCGACAGATTTGTATTAAAAACTCACGTACGTTATTGGATCGAGTCCAGGAATTTCAAATGAATACAGTGTGTTTCTTGCAAACTTGGACTCTTGATTTGGTTCATTGCTCACTCAACAAAACTTTTGAATTGTAATACATGATATCTACCAGTTTATTCGATAATTAAAAAAAGTCTAGCTCAGATTTCCACGTTCAAGTTATATGAAATGTTGATGAATCATATTAGATATCTATGAAGATGATCCATTTGAAAAACTAATGGTAGTGAATCATTTGGGAGCCGTCTGACTTGTTCATTTCTATCAAGTTCCTGGAAAACACTATAGCCTCATGGGCTTATTGCGTTTTCTATATTTTACATGACTCCCCTTTCAACAATCTTATTCCCCGTACTAGTGAGTACAGTTCCCTTGCTGTCATATTACTCAGTACTTAATTTGTGTTGTCCATAAATTATTCAAACCCTGTGATCGAGTGCTATTCATAAAATAGGGCGATCTGTCTTTATCACTTTGTTGCATTGCCTACAGCTAAGGTCTCCGTTGTAAAATTCTATTCAGTTCAGGTATCCTCTAAATGAACAATGTCCACTAAGAAGCTCTGTAATGGTTCTGAACGTTGTTAAGTTTTTTAGTTCTCTTCTAGGGCGGCCCCTTTATAAAAATTTTTTCGTGTGTGGTATATATTTCTATTTTCTCATAGACACACTTTGCAATGTAGTTCGGTACCTGCATCAAATGATATCCCCACAGCTGGTTCAGGACCCTACAAATGGGCCCTGAACCAGCTATGGTTCAGGATCCTATTCATAGGCCATCAACCAGGTGTGGTAGTAGCATACAGTTGATGATCTGTGTCTGGCACACCCGTCAATTTTCTCGTTGCCTGTTATACCTGTCTTAGCAGCCATAATAGAATCAATCAATTCCTGCTCGCTAGTTTTCTTACTTTATGGCATTTCCAGACAAGTCTCGATGTCACTTTTGGATTCATCGGGTGCCTCAAGTGCAACCTGGTTATCTGTGAATATATTGATCGATTAATTTCGTTGAGACCTTGAATTAATGTTCTTTGCGGTATGCAAGATAGTGCACACTACAGCGAGGCTGGAGGAATGATGTGTACTGACCGTGTAGGTATACTCTATACGAAGTCAATCCGAACAGCTAAGTGAAAGAGTATTGTATCAGGTCTGATAAATTTACTAGTTAATACCATATAGAACCTCCCACATAAAAATAATGATTAGACCTCGTATGAGGTCCACGCTGCCCATGCCATACAAAGAACCTGCCGACGTTCGGTAACTATTTATTATTTATGCCATACGAATTGATTTCGTAGATACTATAACAGAAACGAAGATTTCAGCAAATTCCAGCTGCCGTCCCATGTTCGGTTTCCAACCCGTCTGTATAACAGGTATTCCTGCTGAGAATATTTTTGGTTTCAGGGTTCATAGCTTGAGACTTCAACGGCGAAATGTGTGACGGCATTAACAAGTAGGTTTTGTAGGGAGGACTCTAAATTTGGAATTGATTGTTTTGAATAAACTGTTAATTTTTATTGCGTTGAGTTTTCCAATTTTTTACCGTAATCTGCGTCCCATATCAGGGCCTAGGTTGGACTTATGGGTATTCCGGGCCTGGCATCATTATGAATCATGAATCAGCAAAAATGTTCTATTATATTTCGTTATTGTCTCGATTAGTGAATTATGTACCGAAACTGTGACTGTGTTAAGGTTTTCCATAAACAAGTGAATCTTCAATATCTCTTTCACAGAAACCAAAAGTTTCAGGTAGGCAATGTTTCATCATTTGGACATATTGACAGATATCAATGTTTGGGTAGTTTGTTTTGTAATCAGATACATGAACCTTTTTATTCTAGTCTGAAATACGTATAACATTCAACCAATGAAGTTGCTGAAAGTTAATTTTTCATCATTAGTATATATTTGCAGTATTCTTTAGACAAAAACATCTTAGTTAGTGAATTCAAGTAACAGTTTGTGAGATTACCACTGATCATTTCACATAACTGTAACAAATATTTCGCTATGCAATAGTTTCCTTAGGTGTGTTAATACTGACTAAATTCTGAGAGTATATGAGTTGATGTGTGGTTCTTGCCTAAAACTCTATATTGGTCAATCGGGGAGAACATTTCCTTAAAGATTCAAAGAGCATGTAGGTGGTTTTTTGAATGGAAAGACCAATTTCACCACCATCTCCTGGTTAAGAGGCATGAGTTCAATAAGTCCTTTGACGTATTGCATTTGGAAGAGGAATGTTTGAAACTCAATTTTTTTAGATGCTTGCAAATTGATATATTTGAGTATTCTCAAAATTATTTGTTGAATCTATTTGCTGATATGAAAATTGGTGATTAGTTAGTACAGGTCCATTTAATGAGTTGGTAAAATTTATTCTCCACAGTTCAAATTTGTAATTAGTTCTTACCTGAACTGTAGTGAAATTATTATTCATTAAGTGGGTAGTTACTTTCATGATGCCTACATTTTCAATTAGTTAATACCTACCGAAAATCTGTTTAAGTTATTAGTCACTGAATAGGTGGAAAGTCATATGATTCAAATTGTTATATAATAGGTAGAATTTGATAAATACGACTACGCCTGAGGAAGTTATTGGCGAGCGAAACATGTGTTGCTGTTCAGTGAAAATCTCACAATGAAGTGATACTTGAATACCATATATTTTCATCAAGTATCGGTCAATTCCATCTTACATCATTCGGTAAAATGTGTATGAAAAAAGCACTCCTCTTTTACACACAAAAAAGTGATACACATCAGAATAGTTTATCGATGAAATATGTGACAAAAATGTGATAATACAGTATACGATGCATTGGATAAAAATGTTCCCTCCGGATCCATCCAAGGTTTTGCTGATGATATATTGTCTTGAGTGGTGAAGATGGGAAAATGTTCTTTCGCAACTGGAACTGGCGAAGGCAAAATTCTCTGAAATTGCCTTAAAATTTAAATAACCTTTCAAGATGGATAGATGGCTTCCCAGAAAATCATCAACAAATTGAAATCAAACCTGAAGAATTTCATCTCCTCTCCTTTGCTTGAATGTTATAAAAATTTCAAATACTTAACTTTTCAATACGGCCATCACTGGTATACCCATTTCAGTCGACTCCTCTTGATGAATTACCTCCAAAATTTCTCTTGGATATCGACAAAATCAAGAAAGCTTTCCTCAAAGAAATGCTGGCGCTACCTTCAGACAGTCCAGATAGTATAATCTACTCTTCTCCAATAGTAAAAGAACTAGGTGTCTCTTTAGATCATCACGGGAAGCGTTTCTTCAAAGCTTCGATATAACTAAGAAACGTTCTGGCTAAATGCGCCGCACGGAAGCAATAGCCAAGAGAACCTAGAGAGAGAGAACTAAGAAACGTAGATATCGATTGAATGTGCTACTAGACAAAATGAGATCCTTCGATGATGAAGCTCAACACATGTTTGAAAAAAACTGATTATTGTTAACGACAATGACAAAAAGACCTATTCTGGTAAAAGGTTGGGAGATATTCTTGGGGAAGGAGAATATAACAACTGGAAGAATTTGAATATGAAAGAAAGAGGTGTGTAACTTCATAAGTACACTTTTAGCAAATTCTTGGATGAAGACTCGAGAGGGTCTGACAACATCTGAGTGAAAAGGAGCTGTTAAAATGACAGGATGGTTAGTGAATTTGAGAATAATACCAGGTAGAGCCCAAGACGGAACCCATTGTACTTAAATTGAAAGCCTTTCTCATGTCTTGGGATCTTATTCATTTTGTCAATAACTGAAACTGAAAAACACTAGACTCACTAGAATCATACCATTTATCACCTAATAGCCACCACATCATCTGAAAAATTCGAAGTTTATGTACAGCTTCCAAAGGTAGCATTAGAAAAATTTACATCATAGCAATAGACATAAAAAAGGATATTGTATTTATGTTGAATCCAACAATAAGGTTCGAAATAGATAATTTCCAACCTGCTGAAGTTAACACAAAAAAAAATATATGAACCAACCACCAAAGTTTTCAAGGAGAAATGTAAAATTGATGGTGAAATAAAAGTCGTTGGTCTTTTTATGGGTTCCAGAGGTACAATTTCAAAAATTTTTGTCGCGTTTGGATCTAGAGTCTAGGACCAAACACAAGATATCACCAGAAGATGGCAAATGAGACTTTGCCGAAACGCCGTGAAAGTGATCCTTGTGATGATAAAAAACACAGAACACAGAATGAAATCCGGAAAACAACCTATCATACTCTTGAAATCATCGATTTCAAGACAGAATAATTTTTGGGATGCTTTCCACATTTTTTGTACGAAGATAGAGAAGTAGAAAGCCAAAACTTTCTTTCCCAAATATATGTCTAACTGCGAACAAAAACGTTATCATTTGTTACTCACATTACAGATACCTAGATTATAGTAAGATTTTTGATACGGTTCTGGGTTTGGCAAATACTTTTGTACGTTTTCTATTGACCAAAAGTTGTAGGCCAATACATAACCTCTTACGTCACGGGTTTAAAAATATCTTCCCAATGCGTCGCGATGCCCGCGTCTTTGAGGGGTCATTCAGTAACAATTTTGGCGACGCCGTGTGAAAAACTAATTACTTTCGAATCAGTGCGATTTACAAATCCGGCATCAGCTAGAAGCTACAATTTGATATTGTTGGACTATTATAAATTACCTACAGTTTCTAACCAAAGACTTTCAGGGGAAAGCAACAAGTGTGTTTTCATAGAAAGCGTAAGTGATAAATGAATTTTCCAGCAGGGCCAATATGGGTTTGAAAAATGTAAACAATCCGAAATGATTACTTGGTATTTGTAAACAATTTGAATATCAAGTCAGGTGCTTGTTTGAGAATTTTTATTACTTCTTATGTAAGAGGTAACTATGTAAATGTCACGTCATGTTTGTCATGAGACGGTGTAAGAAATAGAGTGGGTGTGCGAAAAAAAATTTCAAGTTCTTGATCGGATGGAAGTACAAAATCTATGAATGTATTTCTATAATTTTCTACCCATTTATTCAATAATTGAAATATAATGGAATTAAATATTGAATTTTTTGCAATTTTTAAAGATAAATAAAATATAGATGATTATAATACCAATAGGTATCAGTGAAATATATGTGAAGCTAGAATATGTAACTGAATTGAACTATTAGTACTTAATTGTTAACCTTCATTCAGTCGAAAACATATTTATATTTTTTACGAAGAAATTCATGTACTGTTCAAAAAATGAGGTAATTATTCAAATTTCGCGGGATACGTTCATTTGATTACATATTGGTACACTCGTCTCGAGCATATGTTCACAGTTTCAGCATGTTCAGTTTGTCGGTGAGAGACATGAAAGTTAATAAAGTGTTTTGTGTGTTGACACCACATGATTGTACTCTGGGTCGGAAAAATGTTTTAAAGTGGAACAAGCTTTTCATAGAAGGTCGAGAATATGTGAATGACGACGCTCGTCCTGGACGCCCTCAGCACGTCAACAACCGATGAAAATATTGAGAAAGTGAAGAAAATCGTTACGGAGAATCGTTGAATCACTATTACAGGAGTTTCTGAGGATGTCGGCATATCGGTTGGCTCATGTCATGCAATTTTTTCGTGAATTTTGAGCTTGGAGCGATATTCGTTCCAAAATTGCTGAATTTCGTTAAAACAAACCGTCGCAGGAATTGTTGAATTACGTCAGAGACGATCCAGCTTTGCTCAAAACTTTCCGCTTATGTACGAACTTATCGCAAGTATTGACTGGACCACTCTTGAAGTTTTCGATAGATCAAATGTTGCTTGTACTTATTTTTACGGGAAAATCTTTAACATACTGTATCAAGGTGTACCCTTATGAACTGGGAACTTCAAGCGCAGATATCCGCCGTGGTTCGACAATAAAATCATTCAGCAAATTCGTCTAAAGGCTAAGTATTGGCGTCTATTCAAAAGCAGCGATGATGTTGCTGCTCGGGAACAGTTTGTGCGTCTGAGGGCAAAGATAAAATCGGACGTGGACAACGTGTACAAAAAATTTGTCAAATCCGCTGAACATGACATCGAAGGGCATCCAAATAAATTCTGGGCATAAATCACCAGCGATAACCATCCATATTCACAAGTCTTGAACATTCATTACTTCGAAGAAAATGAAGTGTTGGTTGCTTTGAAACAGATAAAACCGAAAATGACAACTGGTCCCGATACCATCCCTGCACTTATTGTCAGATATTGTGCATATTTTTTGGCTCGTCCTTTGACAATATTAATAAATATCTATAGAAATGAACTTTAAACGTTCAAGCCAGTCTCGTCTATACCTACGCAGTAGGTTAAATGGACTGATGCTTATCAGAAAAAAACTACTCCTCTGGCTAATACCACGACGGGCGTTGGATTATATCCGCCAAGCGTCAGTGCAGGAATCATCACAGAAAATTTCCTGCATATGCAATTGACAATCTGCCAGTCTTCAAGCATAGCCCACTGAGTAATAAGAAAGTTTTTCTTCCTTATTCAGAAGAATCGTGCAAATTTCGGATATGCAGTTGGTTAGTACCTCGTCCACTAGATGGAGTGACATTTTGTTGTTCGCTCCAACTTAGGAAGAGGAATGCAAACCAAGCACACTNTCTGCAAGTTGTCAGGTCAACATTTTTACTGATCCATCTCTGAGATAAGGTCTTTTTACTTCAACTAATTCCATATGTTTTTATCTTATAACTTATTGTAATTGTATTGTATTGTGATTTGACTTATATCCCTGTTCTCTAGTTGGGTGTAACCTGTGGAATAGTGTATAAATATAAATAAATAAATAAAATAAAAAATGAACAAGGGTCATAACTGATGACGAATCATGGGTATATGATTATGATATCAAAAACAATGCCCAATCGTCCCAATGGAAGGGCCCAGGAGTGCCAAGACAAAAAAAGCACGCCAAGTTCGATCCAACGTCAAGGTTTTACTCACTGTTCTTCGATTACCGTGGCATAGTGCATCAGAAGTTCTTGAACGTCCGGTGTTGTGGAAAAACAATTAATGGCTTTTACATCACGATAAGGCATATGCTCACTCGTTATTGTTTGTTCTTAATGTTTTGGCAAAAACAACACCGTATTCACCATTGCCCCTTGCTAATTTTTGATGAATTATCCCAGATTTGATGATAAATATCACATCTTGATCCAAGTCACTACAAGTTCATTTAGTTTCCCATAAATTCGCCTTGTTACAAATTTTTGGTGAACTATCTCTATGACGACACAATCGTGTTATGGCGGATCGCTTCAAACAATGATAATTCCCCCACTGTGGAAATATTCTGATCATTGGATGAACAAAAAAATGAAGGTCACAACGAGTAAATAAACTGTCAGAACTGTCCAGCTCACAATAAAAATGGCAAGTCTTTATCGGAAATGGTGAATGTGCCAGTGAGACCATCGAATGGTCATATCAATTAAATTTTATTTACGATTATCGGAGTGATTTAGAAGGTCACTATCGTCTGCACGACTTTATGTTTACATCAATATTTGTGTCTGGAAAGGTTCCATGACGTAAACATCACGGTCAATTGATTGTTAATCAAAATCCCGGGTTAACAGGATTTTACTCGTATCGAAAAGTATGTTGAATGGAATTGAAACCAATTGGAAGCAATTAATTTTGAAAAGGGGAATGGCGCTGATGATTGACAATTGGAATAACGTCATTGGTCCGTCACTGGTTTTATCTGATGTAGTCAGTTCGGAAACGCCAATTGATACTTCATAAAAGCGGAATATTTCTGGTTTGGGCTATTATTCACGGACAAGGATAAACCAGAAAATGAGCAGTAAATTATAAGGAGCTATATTGCGAGAGCAGTTCAAAATATTTTTTATCATTCTATTTAAAACTTAGAATAATGAGATTAATGAAAGAATGAATGAATTATTATTTGAAATCGTTGAACAATTTGGATATATCGAAATTATTGTTTCAAATTATGAATTATTTGTATTATTTCGAAACAAGAGTATTTGATAATGATTTTGAAATGATGTTGATATTTGATAAAAATAAAAATAAAACACATGAATTGCACAATAAAAACAAAACAGTAACAATTACAATTTTTTGTTTATATGTGAACCAATGAGCGTGGACCTTCGGTTCAGGCCACGAATTTGACCTGGCAGAAAATCCTCAAAGCGCTCTAAAAGCGATACCTGTACCAATCTTGCGTAAAGAATTCGTCTTTCAGTTGGAAGTGGCAGTTTTGTACACAGTACACAGATGATGCTTTTCCTTGCAGTGGTTTAATTATTGATAGTAAAAACTTGGACAAATTCTGAGTGGCTGAATCTCTGGAGCTACTAATGATCGGTCTGAGCGGAACGTCCTTTTTATGGATTTTGAGTAGTCCATACAAGTGAGGAGGCTTGCTCTTTTTTCGAAATATAGATTTGGTGTTTTTTCAAAGTCTGGTACAACTTCCTTTCAATTGATGCAGTAGGGTCTCTTACGATCTTCGTAATTTTTTTTTTCTGAAGCACCTCTTCAATCTTCTGTTCGTAGAGATCAATATCCATCACAACAGTATCGTTTCCCTTATCTGCAGGTAAGACCTTGATGGTGTTATCTCTTCGTAGCCCGTTCAGAGCTCTTCGTTTTTCATTGCTGATGTTAGATGTTGGAACTGGTTCTCGATCTAGCTGTTTTCTGATTTTCCATCTGAATTCTTCTGCTTCGATCTGATCAATAAAGGAATTGGTGGATTCCACTGCAGTAATTATTTCCAAAGTGAGCACATATGTTTGTTCAATGGTGAAATTTAGGCCTATCCTCAACAAGGATTCCTCTATTACCGTGAGCGCGCAGGACCTCATGTTGATGACGTTGGCGACATCATAGTTGTCCTGTTTTCGTTCTGCATTTAGACATTGTTTCCTCACCAACTTTCCCCACTTCCTGTTGTGGGTTTCCTCCATGTCTTGTCGGATCTTCAGGCAAGTGCTTTCAATCTTGGCAAAGATTGGTCCATGATCCTCCTCCAAAGTCAGCTCGTGCTGACTTTGGAGCATGGCATGAAAACAATACTCCAAAGACGGTATGATCCGAGCATTATAAAGCCTCAGAAGTTGCTGAGGTGTGTACAGTTTTCTGGTTCGGAACACTGTTCCAAGCTCTTGAGAATCTGTCTGTCTGTTTAAAATCCGTTTTTCCGTTAATCAGCTGTCGCCCCCATACGAACGACAACTCTCAGAAGTTGAGAAATTTGTGCGAGCTAAGGACCAACAAAGTCTTACCTTTCAACGTGTGATTCCTAACACGGTTGCAGAATCATCCCAGCTTCAACCAGATAAATTCTCTCGAGAAAAATATCTGGTCGAGGCAGGAATCGAACCCATGGTCTTCCGATCGTGAGTCGGGCAGCCTTCGCAATTCCAGCGACATGATTATGCCAAGACATATTGGTGTACATTTCAACCCCCAACAAACTTATCGAAGCAGAAACCGGAATTATCTGTTCTGACATTATTATATCCGGTTTGGAGACATTTATATTTTTGGAGAAAACTGATGCCTGTGTTTTCGTGGCGTTAAATTGAACCTGGTTACTTTTTCCCTAATTTCAAATAATTTCTAGATCCTCATTAAGATATACAACCTCCTGCTGCCGGTGAAGATGTGCCTTCGCAGCCGATGTCCTGGAATCCAAATGGAGTGACGAGATAAGGATGCTGTGGTCAGCAAAGCAATATATTGGATCCTTGTTTTTTTCAATAAGTCGTTGAAATACAATAAAAAAAGTGTTGGAGACAATATGGATCCTTGGTAAACACCAGCGTTGATAGTAAAAGTATTGGAGAGATATCCATCGACGGCCACTTGAAGGAAACGTTCCTTCAGCAAGCTGGACAGCCATACGCAAAAATGATCACACAAACCATGGCATAAAAGTTTGACCAGACAACACTAATGCCACACACGGTCAAAGGCCTGAGAAATATCGAGCGCAACAGCTCTTCAATGAAAGTGACAACATTTGTGAATTCAATTGCAAATGGAGTTCCCACATTCTGTAATTTTTCTAGCCTTTCCATTATTTCTACTCATTTCAGACAATTTTTTAAATTTCAATAATGTCATTCAAGAATCTGATCATTCATTTTGTTGTTAATTCAAGTAATTTTTCGTTTTCTTTTCGCAGTTTCCGTTTTCAAAAATCCCTCTGCGAGTAGCTATTGAATAACTACGAACTGAATTCAATCAAGAAGGTCCGTTTTTCTGTAGTTGAATCTTCCGCAGAAATGGATCATGATGACGATGATGGTGTCGGCTACATCAGAGAAAGTCACTACTTGAAAACTCCCATGTCAGAACGTCAGCAAGCAATAGCTCTTCTCCAGGTGCCCAGGGATATAACTAGAGAGGGGAGTATATCGTCCAATGTCAGCGATTTGGATATCCCCATTTATTCTTCGGAGAATCTGACAACTAGTCCAAAAAGAGTACCTGAGTGGGTGAGTAAAAATTGCAATAATTTTTTAACGGATTTTTCCCCAAAGGTACCGTCTCAACCTTTATGATTATTAACGATTGAGGCATGTTTCTTATGTTTTGCAATAATTTTTGAAATATTAAAAATTGAAAGATAACATAAGTAGTGAAAAGCTGAAAATAAATAATGAACCAAGCTTCAAAAATCGAGTGTTACCTCCTTCGGCTTGGACGATAGCCTCCATTCTCCGAGGCAATTCATGGATTAGCGTCCGATAATACTGCATGGACACAACACGAACGGCAACACGAAGTTGTTTTTCGTTTGTAGGTGGCTTTTCGTGACTTCTCAAACATTTATCTAGAATCTAGATAACTCCAGACATGCTCAATAATATTGGCATCCGGGGAGCATGCTTAATCCTTGAATATCATGAATATATAAAGAAAACGCGATGCTTCATTCAATCGAATCCTGATACGAAAATTAATGAAAAAAAAACAATGTATACAATTGAAAAAATGAAGATTAACAATTGAAAAATCAAATCAAATGAGAAAGACAAGGGTTGCCATAGTTAAAGTGATACATCCTGCATGTCGTTACTAATTTTGATAATATTCGAAATATGACTGTTTGGTAAGACTTCGAACAATTGAAATAAGATACAATGAAAACTTAAAGATTTTTCTAAAAACGTATTGGTTTTTATTAGAATCAAAAATTCGCAAACCAACGCCAAATTTGAAGGAAATGAACCCCATCAAAATTCTCTATCGATCAGTACCACGACATAGTGGACTAAATATTCACTGAGATGCGGAGCTACTAAAACACATGACATTAAAGCGGACCAAACTTTTAAAACAAACTGAGAAAACCTAAATATCGCCCACTCCGTGGTACTTCCAAATTAAGTTTAACAGAAAAATGAGATATTTTTTACGTTCCAACTGGAAATCTGTCAATTTCTAAGAGGCGTCCAAGTTTACTGAAAGTAATTTTTCGTGTATGTTGAACAAATGCTGAGATGTTTATAAATCGCTATAACTGAAACGTAATCTGTAATCAAAATTTTCATAGGTCTGTGCAAGAACTAACTTCATTGATAAAGCGAATTCGACTGACGTTATTGCTGCATTAACAAATTACGCCCATAATCATAAAGTAAAACCACCTAACACTAGTTAATAAACTTATCTAATCAAAAAAAAATATGTGTTAAGCTTTTTTATCTATATGAATTATGTACACGGATTTGTCTTAAGATACGTGTGTCATTTATGCATTAAAAAATAATTGATAAGACGTTTGTTTCTTGGCACGCACATTATATATTTATTCAGTATTACATTCGCTGATTGGTTGTTGGAAGAAGGCCTGAAAGGGGATTGTCATTGTTTTGCGTTTTTGAACGTCAGCACAATTTCCCCTTACCACATGATTAGTGTTACATAAACTAATCTCTTGTTCATATCGAAGTTTCATTATATCTCATAGTCCAGTCAATGATCATTATTTCGTTCAATTTTGCCAAATAGCATCAGTGGTCATAACAATTTGGATTGAGGGTTTACTTACTCTCTGCTTCACAGTTGATCATGAATCGGGAGTTGCTTTTATCCTGGGGGTGGATGCTACCCCATGTCGGGGGTGAAAAATGTTTAATCAAAAATGAGTACGGAAATCGATAGAATAACTGTTTTTGAGCAACTCTCTCCTAATTTGCTTCTGAAACTAAATACATTTCGACTCATTTGCGAGTGAGTGTCAATTTTTCACCCAATCAACCCACGTTTTCTGACGGTTTTTCACGAATAACTCAAAAAGTAAGTAATCTATCGAAAAAAATCATTCATAAAATGTAGCTTATAGAAAAACAAAAAGAAAAGTGAGTTTATGGTGCATGTAGATACTATGAACAAAAAATTTCAAACAAACCCTGAAAGAATTCCTTATCAACGACTCCTTTTACAGTGTTGCTGAATATCTACGTCGATGAGAGGGTTTCATATTATGTTATTTTCTGCATCTGTCCGGCTAAAATTTCTGCCTTAGTGCAGCAAGCCGGTATGATTTTAAGATTTGAGAGTAGAGAGGGCATCATTCCACCAAGAACTCAGAACAACCATCTTGATAGAGTGACCTGAATAGAGTCTGCGGAGCTCGAAGAGAAAATCTTGATATTTTATCTGTTTTCCCCCCCTTTCTGAACAAAATCCGCCCCACAAAAACCGAAAAACCCAACAAAAAAAATCGTTTGCTCTGGTGGTCGAGAAGGACTACATCAGGCTCATTAGCTTGTATGAGCCTGAGGGTGGGAAACGAATAGTTCCAATAAATTCGCCACTTCCCGTTCCCCACAACGGATTCAATATCCCCCGGAGCGTAGGGCAACACCGGTGTCTCGCCAATACCGTAAGAGTGCCGTAGATGGTAATATAGCACTCTCAGGGCCGCGTTATGTCGATAGGTATAGGCCGAGACCGCATATGCTGGGCATGCTGATAGCAAGTGCATTAGGGTCTCGAACGCCTCGCGGCAGGCCCTGAATCTTGTGTCAGGAACCTCTATACCCATCACGCGACTGCTGTAGACTAAGGTGTTGAAGACACAATACTGGCAAGCCATGAAGAACCCCTCAGTTTCTGACTTCAGCCCACTCGACCTGAGAAAAGCGAACGTCAGGCGCTTTGATAAGCCAAGGTCTCCAATGTTATTGAAGAAGACCCCATGCTTTGACTTTTCCTTGTGTTTCCGTGCGGCTTTTATCTGAGCATTTTGCTGAACGGGTTCCAACTCGGTGACAGAGTTGTGGTCACCTCGTTCAGTGTCGAAAACTAAACCGAGTTCATCAGCCGCTCGGGCAGCTGCCTTAAACAGAAATGCTCTAATTCCTGCTCTCTCATGGTCACGGACCATGTAGAGAAGTGGATCCGAACTCCTCACGACGTTACAGGCCATATCCAGTGTCATGTATACACTTCAAATTCAAAAGTCCATGGCCTTCCTGTTGTCGGAGTTCCAGCTCAAATGCCAGGTGTGACAGTTTTGGCAACATTTCGTGGATGTTTACAAATACCAGAGCCTGAAATAATGCAATATGTTAAAACTGAACACCATACTGTGACAAAAAAACATTTTCATTTATGTAACTATACCATGTGCAACGATGCAGATAAAAGTCACAGTTCTGGTTTAGGCCAACTCATTTTCTGTTTTTTCTGTGTCATAGTTTCAATATTCCAGCACTAGATGTTTATGAATGGATGCAACTCAGATTGAAAATTACTATTGTATTGTTTCAACTTGATTGTCCATGTATTTATATGTTTTTTATATTTTTATAAATAAAATGAATCAATCAATTGTATTGATGTTTTTGACCATACAGTTTTATAATCATTATTCACTAATTTTTCTCACTACTCTTCCAATATGATATAATGATTGCAATTTAATTGATGACTTTTTCATACTTTCCTCAAAAAATAGATATATTTCCGATCAACATAAAATAGTCAATCCATACAATTGTGCCTCCGGTTGCCGGAGGTGCCACAGTCATACCCTCGAGTATTTCTGAGCGCAACGGATAACGGAAATAGTGAGATGCAGAAGAGAAGGGGACTGAGGGAATCGCCCTAAAATACACCCCTTCTGAAAGTGACCCACCCTGTTTGGACTCTGGCTTGACCAGATGTTATGGTGGAGCGAGTTCGCCAGAGTAGTATCAGTTGTTCAATGCATCTCACTATTTTGTCGGGTACCGCAAGACATCTGAGCAAATGCAAGATGAGCTCATGCGATATTGTATCAAATACCTTACGGTAATCGATTCAGGCCATGGAGATGTTACGCTTATATTGTATGGAGTCCTGCGTTATACGTCTATCGATGAGCAGGTTCTCTTTACATCCAGCGACTCATTATATTAATATTATTATTACTATTATCATGATAATTATCATCATATGGAAATTATATCATAAAGAGCAAATTCAGTTCTTTCGGTGATATTGAAAGAGAAATCAGTGCTTCGTTTCGTTATGTTATCCAAAAAGGTGCCAATAAAACGTAATATGGATCACATTTCATATCAATACTCTTTCACATATCACATCATGTAGTGACCCTATGAATAATATCTTAGGGACACTACATGATATCTTATTATTACTATTATTACTTCCCCCTACAAGATCTACTTAGAATTTTTTTGAGTCGCTGCTGTTTGACAAAATTGAGCAGTATCGCCGTATTTCATTTTCAGTGATTGGACTATGAATATAATTTTGCACACGTACCGTTGCAATATATGACACTTCGTTGTGCAACATTCAGGCCTACGAACGGTTGAGGCACATGCCCTTGGTCACGAATGTCTGGCACACACCCGTTTTACCGACCAATCAGAACGCAGAACACCCACATGCCTCCGCGTATCGATCCAAGAATAAACAAACCCGTTTTAGAGATCCTTGACTTTAGCGGAGCTTGCTTGATTTCACTTGGAATTTGTTCGAAGCGATTAGAAAGGAGTTTTTTACTTTGATAATTTGAAACTGATGTAGTGGCTAATAATACTTGCACAATTACTTTCAGACTTGAGAACAATAAGCGAGAAGGAGTGGAGGATACCATGGGCGTGTAGTTGGTGTAAAACATGGACATGAAATTTTGATTATTATCAAATTCTTGGGTTGGATACTTCCTGTCATTTGGAAAGTGAAACATGTTTCAGCCAATTCAGCAGTGATCTCAAACCATTTCCATTATTTTGACAAATTTGCTATTCAATTCTTGAAAAGAAATATCTTCTACATTTCAGACTTTTTCTTTCTCTCTTTCTTCTTCGAATGGTACCATCCACATAACTCCAACATCTTCGGAATGTTGTAGGACGACGTTTTGATTTTGACTGTTTTGTTTTCCTCATTTCACGTTGATGGCTCACTAAAAATCTCAAAAACAGTTATAGTTTTCAATTCGAGATGTTTTTCATGACAAAAAATACTCTTG